AGTAATATTTATCATCCTAAAGTCATCTTTTGTATCATACTCAACTGTTTGTAGGCAGATGAGATAAATATTTGATCATTTATTGGTCCACACTATATTCTATCATGATGCGGCTTGGTTTGGATTTTTCGAAGAAATTTTGCTCGAATCGCTGTAGATGTCTTCTTACATTATACTAGATTTTTCTCAAACTATTGAACTGAGTATGACAAAACTTGACAGGAATGCTTGAAATAACCAGTATTACAAAGGAAAAAAGTCACATTTAGTTTATTTAACAAAAAAGTCTTCTTTAGGTGTAATACCACCAAATCATAGTACGTCACATCCGGTTGCATACGAAAATAGGTCGAAAAAAAATATTCCCTTGAATTTGACAGTTGTAGGTAATTGATCCTACATTTCATTGCAGTAAAACATTTCTGAGTCATAAACATATATCTTGGGTATTTCAAAGCACCATTATTTCTTTATTTGGAGTTTCTATAGAATATTTTGGAAACTTGAGGTTACATGGTTACTAAAGCTTGTACACAGGTTAAAAAAGGGGGAAAATTTGATTGGTTAACTTCCAGTGATGGTTATTTTCTTATATGCAATGAAATGTTATGTGAAATTTTTTCTATAGTACTGGACAGGATAAATCTTTACTCATGCCAAGTATTTCTTTATTTGAAACAAAGATAAATTCTGCACAATTTTTTGAAAAGTGCAAATTTAACAAAGACTAATAGGGGAAAATCAATGGTGGTATTACACCTATTATAATATGGGAAGCTGTACATGCACCTTTGACCTTGTGAGTACTCTCATGTGTTAAAATTTCTTGCTATTTAAGTGAAATATTACAAATAATGAAATATTCTGAGTGGATTGAGTCTCCAAAATACATTTTATGAGAAAATTTCCTTGAAATAGGACTTTACCATGAATATTAGTTGACAGAACAAGCCATACTTAGAGTTTTGGGGAGCTTTTTCTCCTTATTTCTTATATTCTGCTATACTGTAAATACAGAAATTATTGCGATGTTTTTATTATTGCGAAAAATGCGACAGGGTTATAATCGCAATAATTTAAACTCGCATTTTGAAATTTTTTATATGAATTAAACAGGATTTTTCTCAATATCGCAAAAATTAGAATCTCATTTTAGTCTAAAATGACAAAATCGCAATAATAAATGCACGCATTAATTTCTGAATTTACAGTATTAGAAAATTTTTCCTTAGAAATACTTTAATAAATATATAGTTTTAAGTAAATGAAATTACTTTTAAAGCAGTAACAACAAATTATTCACCAAAAAAGAAGTTTTTTATGTCCCTCTCTGGAATGCGGCGTAAATTTAAGTTTTACGTAAGGACTTATTGAAACCTCCTTGGAGACAGTAAACTTTTATACGGATAGTTCATTCAGCTTGAATACTTCAATTAATCATTTATAATAACATTTCTATCATAAATGAGTGAAAGTTACCCCAAAATTTTTATTTATTGGCCTAAAAAGTAGAAATTTTGAGGAAATGAGAGGTATAAATGGACCAAAAGAGACCTTATAAGGAAGACAAAGAGGTCCATTAGTAATATTTATCATCCTAAAGTCATCTTTTGTATCATACTCAACTGTTTGTAGGCAGATGAGATAAATATTTGATCATTTATTGGTCCACACTATATTCTATCATGATGCGGCTTGGTTTGGATTTTTCGAAGAAATTTTGCTCGAATCGCTGTAGATGTCGTATACTAGATTTTTCTCAAACTATTGAACTGAGTATAACAAAACTTGACAGGAATGCTTGAAATAACCAGTATTACAAAGGAAAAAAGTCACATTTAGTTTATTTAACAAAAAAGTCTTCTTTAGGTGTAATACCACCAAATCATAGTACGTCACATCCGGTTGCATACGAAAATAGGTCGAAAAAAAATATTCCCTTGAATTTGACAGTTGTAGGTAATTGATCCTACATTTCATTGCAGTAAAACATTTCTGAGTCATAAACATATATCTTGGGTATTTCAAATCACCATTATTTCTTTATTTGGAGTTTCTATAGAATATTTTGGAAACTTGAGGTTACATGGTTACTAAAGCTTGTACACAGGTTAAAAAAGGGGGAAAATTTGATTGGTTAACTTCCAGTGATGGTTATTTTCTTATATGCAATGAAATGTATGTGAAATTTTTTCTATAGTACTGGACAGGATAAATCTTTACTCATGCCAAGTATTTCTTTATTTGAAACAAAGATAAATTCTGCACAATTTTTTGAAAAGTGCAAATTTAACAAAGACTAATAGGGGAAAATCAATGGTGGTATTACACCTATTATAATATGGGAAGCTGTACATGCACCTTTGACCTTGTGAGTACTCTCATGTGTTAAAATTTCTTGCTATTTAAGTGAAATATTACAAATAATGAAATATTCTGAGTGGATTGAGTCTCCAAAATACATTTTATGAGAAAATTTCCTTGAAATAGGACTTTACCATGAATATTAGTTGACAGAACAAGCCATACTTAGAGTTTTGGGGAGCTTTTTCTCCTTATTTCTTATATTCTGCTATACTGTAAATACAGAAATTATTGCGATGTTTTTATTATTGCGAAAAATGCGACAGGGTTATAATCGCAATAATTTAAACTCGCATTTTGAAATTTTTTATATGAATTAAACAGGATTTTTCTCAATATCGCAAAAATTAGAATCTCATTTTAGTCTAAAATGACAAAATCGCAATAATAAATGCACGCATTAATTTCTGAATTTACAGTACTAGAAAATTTTTCCTTAGAAATACTTTAATAAATATATAGTTTTAAGTAAATGAAATTACTTTTAAAGCAGTAACAACAAATTATTCACCAAAAAAGAAGTTTTTTATGTCCCTCTCTGGAATGCGGCGTAAATTTAAGTTTTACGTAAGGACTTATTGAAACCTCCTTGGAGACAGTAAACTTTTATACGGATAGTTCATTCAGCTTGAATACTTCAATTAATCATTTATAATAACATTTCTATCATAAATGAGTGAAAGTTACCCCAAAATTTTTATTTATTGGCCTAAAAAGTAGAAATTTTGAGGAAATGAGAGGTATAAATGGACCAAAAGAGACCTTATAAGGAAGACAAAGAGGTCCATTAGTAATATTTATCATCCTAAAGTCATCTTTTGTATCATACTCAACTGTTTGTAGGCAGATGAGATAAATATTTGATCATTTATTGGTCCACACTATATTCTATCATGATGCGGCTTGGTTTGGATTTTTCGAAGAAATTTTGCTCGAATCGCTGTAGATGTCGTATACTAGATTTTTCTCAAACTATTGAACTGAGTATAACAAAACTTGACAGGAATGCTTGAAATAACCAGTATTACAAAGGAAAAAAGTCACATTTAGTTTATTTAACAAAAAAGTCTTCTTTAGGTGTAATACCACCAAATCATAGTACGTCACATCCGGTTGCATACGAAAATAGGTCGAAAAAAAATATTCCCTTGAATTTGACAGTTGTAGGTAATTGATCCTACATTTCATTGCAGTAAAACATTTCTGAGTCATAAACATATATCTTGGGTATTTCAAAGCACCATTATTTCTTTATTTGGAGTTTCTATAGAATATTTTGGAAACTTGAGGTTACATGGTTACTAAAGCTTGTACACAGGTTAAAAAAGGGGGAAAATTTGATTGGTTAACTTCCAGTGATGGTTATTTTCTTATATGCAATGAAATGTTATGTGAAATTTTTTCTATAGTACTGGACAGGATAAATCTTTACTCATGCCAAGTATTTCTTTATTTGAAACAAAGATAAATTCTGCACAATTTTTTGAAAAGTGCAAATTTAACAAAGACTAATAGGGGAAAATCAATGGTGGTATTACACCTCTATGGTTAAAGTTTTTTAAGACATCAATAACTTTATCAAACCTTATTTGAATTTCATAAAACTAGGACACAAGCTATTTTATGATCAAAATACAGTAATCAGAGTAAAATTTTGTTATTGGTTCTTTGTTTTCCTTACTATACTGTTAGAAGGATTTTCATTTGCAGTTAAAATTTAGTCACAGTCTGGGGTAAGAGTTTTTTAGACATCAATAACTTTGTTGGATTTTATAAAAAAATTGAGAGAAGCAATGTTGGAATTAAAATTTATATATTTTATTATCCTGTATTTTACTGATGAGTGGATTTGTCTGGGATTTTTTTAGCCGACTATACAGTATGGGTTTATTTCAATGTTAAATGTTGCCTTTAATTGCTTATATCCACGTCATTTACTGATTATGGACTTAAGATTTTGTCAATCAACATTACACTTTTACACTGACAGCAGCATTCGCTGGAAAGACACATGGTTCTGTTGACCCTACACAGGGGTAGCACTAAAATATATTTAATGATAGCTTAGTTGCAAAACTTTATCCTAAAAACCATAGTAAAATAGACTTAATTTAAGAATTCATGTAAAATCATTGATTAGAATCATTTTTACCATTTATCGAAAATTAAACCACCCCATAGGACATTTAGTCATAAGAATAAGAACCGACATAAGGAAGAGCCTTACAATAGATCTTTGAGATAGTCTGGCTCAGAGACATTTTGGTTCAGGTCTAACAACAGCCCTTTAGGGATAAGGAAATCTGTATATAAACTTTGTTTGAAATCTTCATTATTTAAATCACTACTGTATAACTCAGAAATATTGTACATGTATCCCGGTCATTTATAATAATTTCTCATTGAACCAGGATAATGTACAATCTTTTACTACTTTACAAACATCTAAAACACATTAAGGGTTCGAGTTTAAGTTATACAAACTTATTTACCTTCAATGAATGAATAAAGCTTGCAAATTAATTTGACAAGGTAAATATCGAAATTGCCTTAATTGGAATTTTTCAGATGTTTTTAAAAACCTGATCGAGATTAAAAGGGTAAATGCCATTTGTATGTATCAATATTCAAACACTCGTTCAGGTATGAAATACAATTGATATACAATACAGAATAGTTGTATCTTTTAACGGTGAGGTAATGTATATCATGTTTTCAACATCTTTGATTTAAAACCGATATTATTAAAGTTTGAAATGATTCCTGTATTGTAATGTATCGTTGCATAAATTAAGTGTGCCAAACATCGTCTTGTCATTTAACATAAGGGATAATTCTATTATCTTATTTGCTTTATTTTTCAGTCCATTTAACTGGAAGTACTAAACAGTCAACAAGATTCCGTTTAAATTTATGGGATTTTCAGTCATAATAATGTAACCACCAGGACGTCTGTCAAGGATTTTTATTCTTCGTTACTGGGGTCCGTTCAAAATTTAAACGAATTGTGATCTTTTTGCTGCTTAGTAAACAAATCTTTCAATTTTTATGGTGTGAACAGAAAACAATTTTTATGGAAGGATAAGTTGAGCGAACATGGCTAAGAGTAAATTTGAATATGTAAAGCAGTTTGAATCGGAAGACAAATGTTTGCCTAATTGCTGGATAGTTGTTAGAATAGATGGGAAGTCATTCCACAGGTGAGTCTAAATGTATGTGAGAATTAGTTTAAGCCAGTTTACAGATCAATTTTGTCAAGCACAGAAATAAAATATACATATATTTCACCTTGTTTAAGCACCTTTCAAGATAAAACCTGTTTTATTGAGGTATAAATTTTTATAACTAAAAGTTTAGTTAGTGATCTATTTCATGGATGTTTTAATTAAATATTTAAACTATTAAAAGTGTATCGCTTTACTTTGCACAAATAAAGAAAGGAAGTTTTCGTGACTATTTTATCAAATTATATTAAAAAACTCATTAAATGTTACAAGGTGAACACTGACAAAATAGAATAACAGTTTTGGAAAATTTGATTCTTTTAATTTTGAAGAAAATTTTGGGAATTGAAAAATTGAAGTCATTGGATATTTAATTTGCTAGATTGCCTGAAAGATATTAAGATAAGTAGATTGCCCACCATCCAGAGTTCTGTAATTTGTAATGAGATCATAAAGGAGGAAAAGGGGTAGGGGTTTTGTGTACATAAATATAGGAAATAAAATGGTTAATTCAAGAATAGGTTTAGCATCTTGCATTTTTACCAATTCACACGAAACACAGCGAATAATGGCTCAGTTTCAAGTACAAAAACATTTGAAATAAAAATTATAAACATATTTCACCAAAATAACTCTTTATATCTTATGTAATCTATAATGTTTCATGTATGTATGCAAACACATCTTTGCTGGCCAAGGGTTATGATCCAGTCCCCTTCTGTGAAGAGGAGGGGAATTTGATTGATACCCTTGGCTAGCAAAGATGGCACAGACAAGAACAGAGACAGTTAACTGCTTGATGACAATGCTGCAGCATATCATTTCTTTATTTTTTTTCCTTCTGACTTGAAAATTTTGTTGTTTGTGTGTCCTATTTCATTGATGTGCATATACATGTTGTACAATACTTATATAGAAGACCTGGATGCTTCATACTTTGTATATAGATGCCTTATGTTACGAAGTTTCCGTCTGTCATATGTCCATTGTCCTTGACCTCATTTTCATGGTTCAGTGACTACTTGAAAAAAAAGTCAACATTTTTTGTAATGTTAATTTCTTTCTTATTATGAGTAATAGGATAACTATAGTTAGTATGTGCGTACCTTGCAAGGTCCTCATGCCCGTCAGACAATTTTCATTTGACCTCGACCTCATTTCATGGATCAGTGAACAAGGTTAAGTTTTCGTGGTCAAGTCCATATATCAGATACTATAAGCAGTATGTCTACTATATTTGGTATATGGAATGATTGTAAGGTGTACATGTCCAACTGGTAGGTGTCATCTGACCTTGACCTCATTTTCATGGTTCAGTGGTCAAAGTTAAGTTTTTGAGTTTTGGTCTTTTTTTTTCTAATACTATATGCAATAGGTCAACTATAAATGGTGTATGGAAATATTTTATGATGTACATGTCAGTCTTACAGGTTTTATTTGACCTTGACCTCATTTTCACGGTTCTTTTCTCAGTGTAATGTTTTTGTGTTTTGGTCTGTTTTTCTTCAACTATAAGCAATAGATCAACTATATTTGATGTATGGAATGATTGTAAGGTGTATATGTCTGTCTGGCAGGTATCATCTGACCTTGACCTCATTTTCATGGTTCATTGGTCAATGTTAAGTTTTCATGGTTAAGTTTGTTTCTTAGATACTGTAAGCAATAGGTCAACTATATTTAATGCCTAAATTGATTGTAAGGTTTACATGTCTGTCTGGCATGGTTCATCTGACCTTGACCTCATTTTCATGTTTCATTGGTCAATGTTAAGTTTTCTTGTTTAAGACTGTTTCTTAGAAACAATAAGCAATAGGTCAACTATGTTTGGTTTATTGAATGATTGTAAGGTGTACATGTATTTCTCGTTTGGTTTATCTGACCTTGAACTAATTTTCTTGGATCATGTTAAGTTTATGTGTTACTTGTAGTAAAGCTTTGTATTTAGGACTATCAACATAAAATCAATGGTAAGTAAAGAAGGCGAGACATTTCAGCGTGTGCACTCTTGTTCATAGGTATATAGGATGTAGGATATAAATGAGAACTAAAAATACATGTATTTGTACATGCCTATATGATGATAGATAGTACACTAAAGTGCACAAACATAAAAAGACAGATGATAACGATTCCTATGGGTTTAACACTTCTACAATAACCTTCATCAGCTACACTCCAGATCAAAAGTTGGAAAAGTGAAAAAAAATATTTATAGATAAATAAGAAAATATTTGTTTAGCATCAAAATCAAAAGAGGGTAAACAGGACAGCCAAAACTGTTTAATGTCAACTTTGCTTATGGAGAAAACAGTAATTTAAGAGTATTTTCATGAAATGTGTTTCCAATTTTTATTTCACATATTTTCTTTCTTGATGCTCACTTCTCATTGGGTTATGCAAATTGGTCAAAAAGTAATGTGTAAGTTATTTTTTAATTTATTGTTCATCGTGAAATGGACGTTTAATTTCATATTTGTCTGTGCACACCCCCTTTACAATCCTCTGTGGACATTGCAAAATTTGTTTTAATACACTTACATTATCAACAAAATATTTTATTTGAATAATTAAAGATTTTGAGGAGTTTCCCTTTGTCAAAAAAAATAAAAGTAAAAACTATCATCTTTATAAGCAACAATTTATCATTAAGCTTTATAAACTAGGATCATATCCTATGTGACATATAAACTGGCTTGTTTGGCATGGACATAAAATATTTTCCAGTATTCATCTATAAATGATTAATTAGATCAATAATTGTATGGTAAAATCTACAAATGCAAAAAAGGGAACTGTTAATTTTGTCTCCTTACTCCATTGACCATTTAATATTGATGTGTAAAGTAAGAATAAAAAACAGGCTATTATTTCAACTTGGAATTATTTTTAATTATGGAATTTGAATAATTTCTTGTGCTTGAAATTTTAATAAATTCCATGTTTTTTTTATGTATTTTAATGTTCTGTGCGGCACACAACACTTTCTAATACAAAGAAGATAGCCCATTTTCAATGGAATGTACTGTGCGGCGCACAAAAATATCTATACAAAATACATTGTGTGGAAAGTGTTATGCACCGCTCAGAACATTATAATACAGAATGAACATGGAATTTATTAAAAATTTCAAGCACAAGAAATTATGCAAATTCCATAATTAAAAATAATTCCAAGTTGAAATAATAGCCTGTTAAAAGCAGCGTTCAGTAATAAGAACACAGTGCCTTATATATTTATTATAAATACTATGTTGGCAAAAATCCAAAAACGATATAAAAAATTTAAATAGCATTTTAATATGTTCATTGATGAATTTATACAACTAAATTGAGGTCATACTTAATTATACATATCACGAGAGATATACAATATTTGGTAAAGCAACATTTAATTCTTATATATGGCTTTATAAGATAAGTGAAAGGAGTTTGAGTGTGAAAAGATTCTTTAGATGTAAAATCTATTTAAAGTTTTATAAAATCCATATTCATTTGTGTATAAATGAAACTACTAAATTTATATTCTTAATGATGTTCAATTAGAATAAAAAATATTGGTCTTTGCTATTCATAGTTATTGATTTTTAGATTTATTATTCACGATCAGATTATCAAAGGAGTCTTTAGAACTTGATTTGCACATTTTAACAATTTATTCAGTAAAAAAAAAACCACCTTAAGTCTAGATATATTTAAGAATGAATTGACAGACAAAGTTAAAGTAATGGCATCCTATACTGTGGATTCATTATTATAAGTTGGATACCAGTTTTTGTGGATTTTGTGGGTACAGGTTGACCATATGTATTTATACATCTATTGGTCAACCATGAATTGCTTGCGATGATGGAAGTATAAAACAATTTACACTGATTGCAGACTATGGTAAAATCATGGAATCAGATATCCAAAAATATATAATTTCTCCTCAAGCCATGAAAATTGTATTCCACCAAAAAAATAAATCTACAGTATATATATAAATATAACATGTACATGTTACAGCACATAGCAAACATAACTGAAGTATGTCCATAAGTTACTCATCTATTGATAATGAAATTATGCTAATACTTTTGTTATTAGCCACTGTACTTCAAAATAGATTCTATATAGTAAAATCAATAAGTTAGAAATAAAGTAAGAAAAACATCATCTAGTGCCTATCATAAGCTACGGATCCACCACCATCAGAGCAAAGTGTAAGATAATTATAGATATCAATGGTTTTCAAAACAGAGAGATTTTTTTCTCAGCTTCAATGTCATCAAAGGGGGATAGGATAGCCTTATGATGAGAAGTAGCTGAGAAACATCCTTGAGTTCGAAAGACCATACCAGTAGTTTATCTGTTAACCGCTGTTTTCCTAGGAATCATCAGTGACATATATTAGGCTTGTGACCTCCTACTTTATTTCTACTCAACTGAGAAAAACACAAATCACTTAAATAGTGCGAGATTGAAAATTGTCTTCTTAACAGATCAAATGGGAATTGGAGAAAAGATTGGTGATAAGAATTGATTAAAACAATGTTTACATGAATGAGACAGCAACTCAACAATATTTTTTTTCAAAAATGAATGCCTTTCATTCTTAAACAAATGCCCTTGTTTCATTGCAGATTTTCTGATGTCCACCATTTTGTAAAGCCTAATGATGATAGAGCGTTGAATCTGATGACTAAAGCTGCACAGTGTGTGATGGAAGAGTACAAAGATATTGTACTCAGTTATGGACAGAGTGATGAATACAGCTTTGTATTCAAGAAAAATACATCTGTATTTAATAGAAGGGGAAGGTAAGGTCATAGGTCAAGATAAAACAAATATCTCTGGAGCTGTCTTTAATACACATATGTAGCATGAATGAGATATAGTTTCTGATCTGTGTTGAAGGGTAACTGTGATTAAGAGATTTAGAACAGCAATAATAGAGCTGTTCCTTTGCTCATAGTTTTTCAAGTACATGTAGCGGTTTAGTTTCATGAGTTGATACACAGTAACCCTTCTTTTTCCATTAAATTAAAGAATGAGACTAGTGTTCAAAATTTAAAAGACTAAACTAATTTCAATTTCCTGGTCATAACTAACACTGACCTGAGTTTTGGTTCATTCTTTCTTTTGAAACAGCCTTGATGATTGTAAACTAATATGGCAAGGATTTATCATCGAAAGGGAATTTGAAGAAATATAAATAATGGGTCTTGTTATAACATACTGAATTAAAAAAGTAATAGATTTGGAATACTAGCATTTAACAAAGTAATGATTATACTAGATATAAACATAAGGAAGTATGGTATAATTGCCAGTGAGACGATGTAAACATAAGGAGGTATGGTATAATTGCCAGTGAGATGATGTAAACATAAGGAGGTATGGTATAATTGCCAGTGAGATGATGTAAACATAAGGAGGTATGGTATAATTGCCAGTGAGATGATGTAAACATAAGGAGGTATGGTATAATTGCCATTGAGACGATGTAAACATAAGGAGGTATGGTATAATTGCCATTGAGACGATGCAAACATAAGGAGGTATGGTATAATTGCCAGTGAGATGATGTAAACATAAGGAGGTATGGTATAATTGCCAGTGAGACGATGTAAACATAAGGAGGTATGGTATAATTGCCAGTGAGACGATGTAAACATAAGGAGGTATGGTATAATTGCCAGTGAGACGATGTAAACATAAGGAGGTATGGTATAATTGCCAATGAGATGATGTAAACGACTACAGGTCACTTAACTGACTTAAAAATGAGCAAAACCCAAACTTTATAATATGCTATATAAGGCCCTGGATGAAAAAAAACCGTTGAACAACACAATATATATAGACATAATGAAATGAAAAACAATATGACAAATGGCATTTAACAACACCCACTGGACTATAGACTCCTACCATGGAGTATTATTTTTACATGATTTTTTATTAAGTACATTTTCCTGAATTTTTTAACAAGTTAACGTTTTAAACGTGAAAAGCTAATAGACAAATCCTTACATGTAAATAACAATATAAAGATCTAACTTGATCTGTTTACATTACCGATATACCACATACTAACAATATTTGGATTTATGTATTGTTACCTAAGTATAAGATTATGTGAACAAACTAAATACCCAGTGATTTTTGTGAGATAAAAGTTGTTATCACCGTTAATCAATATTTGTTATGTTTTGTTTGACTGTGTAATGCTTTTCAACGGGAATGTTAGAGTAGAAAATTTGATAATGAATCTTAATCATATTGTACATAAATATGTAAATATGTATATAACGGTAAACAAAATTATATTGTATTGGATCACGTTCATTGAGATATATGAAACTTTATCAAGTACATGAAGATTCAGCCCAAATTGAATAGATATTAACAAGAGATAATTGCAACTAGGACATGATTCTAAATTTGAAAGTCCAATAAATCATTCTATAGGTATTGGTTTTTGAGTATCATGATAGTGTTCAGGTCACAATAGTGTCTGTGACCCTTTTTGCAAGTTATTATTTTTTAACATAATTTAAATTCATACCCATTTGTTGTAAGGAACCAAGAAAGGCATATTAAAATTATTTGATTACAAAAAAGTACAAGGAGTAAAGAAAGTATTTTGAAGAATTATAAAAGGAAATTTTGGTGCTTGTGATACTAAATTTGGAGTCTTTATACATCTATTTACTCTTTATTGATGAATTCAATGAAAGTTCTAACCTTTTGCCATTTTATTTGTGGAAATCTTAAAGGTTAATTAAATGTATGTATTCAGAATGGTATTGGTAATTAAGTTTGGTGAATTGATTTAAATGAGATATTTGAGTCCTGAATACAGTCGATAAGCACAACAACAATCCAATAATAGAATAACTAAAAAGAAAATTCAATTATGTTGTTGTATTAAATGTTGAAAGTGAATATTATTGTGTTAAATGCCAGAAATATGTTAATTTTATACTCATTTACACAAAATTTTGTGTATGTATTTATCATTTTGATCGTGTGTTATTTTATAAAACTTTATTCATATATTTTTCAAAACATAACTCATAAATGAGACAAAATATTAACTCTATTTTTAAGAAGAATGCTTATGATTTCCCAAAGTTTGACTTTGAATTGGTTCAATATCATACTATTGATTATAATTCTAAGTTTGTAAAAAAGTTAAGCTGGAATTTAAGATATTTTTGTTGATTAAATATTTGTAAAATTTCCAAGCACAAATCAAACAAACTTCAAAGCACCAGGCAGGTCTAAGGGTTGAACAAAAGGATTTGCCGTCTGAATTTTTGTCATTTAATTTCAACGAAATGAATTAAAATATGGAATGTTTGAACCCTATTCTGCATTTGGTAGCAATACATAGCTAGATGTGGGGTTTTACAATTTGGCCCTAATTTATTTTTCACATATGAAAGTAATTGTGCTATAAAATTAATTTTTTTGAGAGCTGAAAAAAAAATACAGCCTTCAAAGTCAGTTTATGGAAACATCAAGAGTTTTTGTGATATATTTTATCTGTTTGACAGTCAGTATTTTCATATCCATGAAGACCATAGGTCCACAAAATATTGTAAAATTGACATACAATTTTATTTATCGTACTTTTCTATGCAATTTTCTAAAAATTCAGCAAACAGCATATGATTTTTATATGATCTCTTGATAAATACATGCAAATGGTATCAAAAAAGGTTTTACTCAAAGGGATTGGAATTCCACTTTGGACCAAATTTATGTAGCATCTTCACACCCTTTTTTGCAATATTTTATAACAAATAAATGCAAATTGTCACCATGAATACACCAAAGAAAATTTATATTTTACCATTTTAACTACTGAAAAATTAAAATTATGGAAGATATTGATTACATACATATGTACAAACAATAAAGCTTATTTTGCTAAAAAGCAAGGATAAGAGGATGATTAAATTTAGGAGGGTCAATTGATTTTTTTAGACTAGCTGTATTTTAATTTTGTTCCTTTATACTAAACTTTAAAAGACAACTGTTTTTCAGAAAAAAATTACTACCTTTAATGTTGATATAGACAATTTAATAATTATCAAACATAATGAGTTGAAATTTTAGAAACCTTTTTTAAAACTTAATCCTTAAAAGAGGAAAAATTAAAATAGCCACAGTCCTTCATAGAGAACTTTGTAATTTAATGGGTATGCCTTCAAGATAAATAAATCAAATTATGAATGCTTGTAAGTTTTTAGATTTATTTTGTTTTATTACTGTAATTAAATCTGTCATGATGAAATGTAATTATTGACATTGCATGCTATGGTGGTTATTAGTCTCAATCACTTCATAAATTTTGAATCGTTGTAAAACTTACTTTCAAAGTTGTAATTTTATTCTTTGTTTTGATGTCAAAATTTTGCCTCAAGAACTCAAATAAAAATAATTTGATCATTAATTGTTCACAAATTATGACATAATTTCTTTTATTCAGGCCGAAATTTAGTAGAAACATCTTCTGGTCTAGTCAAATAGTTTAATTGGTTTGTCTGATCAAATCTAAATCATACATTTTAAAAAACATTGTGGCCTTTGGCTGATCTTTTGAATCAATATTGATTGTACCTCTGAATGACATTTTATTGCAACATATTGAGATAAAATACCAAGTATTTGATAAGGCTAATCCTTCACTTTCGTCATAATTTTCTGATAAAAAAACTGACAAGTACCGGACAGTAAAGGAATGTGTTTTATGTTGAACATTATGATATATTAAAAAGATGTTGGTTAAACATCTATGAGACAACAATCCTAAAATTGCATTAACCCTCCCACCACCAAAAAAAACAACAAAAAAAACAAACTTTAAATGAAGTCAACTTGTCTTAAACAAAAGACCAGTAGTATCCGTGCCAGTTGTCAAGCTGTATACATTGACCTGTGTGAAAAAAAGATGTGACTGAATAGAGCACAGGTTACCAAATCAGCTCTCAACACAAAATTTTTAAGTAACAAAGAAACTGATATATATTATATCAAACATCATGTTATGTAAAAACAGAAAAATTAAATTATTTAATTAGGATGTGAGAAATGTCAGTGAGACTGCAACCTAGTGAAACAGTAAAACGAGAAATGAAAATTTAGGATGAGTATAAAATAAATCAGTTAACCTTAAAACAACTTAACACTGCTTAATAAGTTATCCACCATTTTCTTTTGGATGTACATTTATGTAAGGAAATCTCTTAAACAAATACTTAAATAGTTCAAGTGAATTCTTTTTCTAACTGCAAACATCCTTGAATAAAACTGTAAACAGAAATGTAATGCCATAATGATTTAAATTATTTTCGAATTGTATATAAGTAGATAGATAATTTGTTAAGAATTCAGTAAAGAAACACTGTTCCTGTTTTTTCAACAGAAGTTTGTTCATGGAATATGAACTAAGTTGTTAAAAATAATTAATAGCAACATATTATTAAAAATTTCTATGCTTAAGATTGTACTATATTGTTTAATTAGAAAAGTATATTAAGTATGGATTTGAATTTCTCTTGGTTGTTGTTTGACCTAAACATTAATACACATTTTATTTAAGTTTAAGAATTGATGTCCTGATGGTCAAGTATAATAAAAATTGATTGTTTGAGTCAGTACAACTAGATATTTGATTGTAAAATTTGATATTATATTATGAATAGATATATTAATGGCTGCAGAATACATGTAAACTCACTGTAAATATGCTCTAGAGATGTTTTGTTGCATATTCAGTGAACTTTAAACCAATAACTTTCATTTATAATGTTTTGGCACATGGAGAATGTTATTCATGTTCTTGTTGGCTCTACAAAAAAACAACCAATTTCATAATCAATAGCTGGTTTGTTTGGCTTAACCAATTATGGCCAATTTATGGTTGCATTTTTTACTGATTGAACAAGTCTAGTTTAAAGTTTGTGATATAGTTTAGGGAGTTATTTTTTAAGCATAAGTATATTGATGTGGTATGGTGAAGCATGGTTTATAGGTAGAAATTTTAAATTTACATGCTGTTCTAGATGAAAAGCAAAAGATAAACAAAGTTTTTGGCATACCTTTAAATAAATAACTTAATGAATAAAATGCTGATCTGCAGAAATGTTGAAAAAATGTTAAAAAAAAATCTATTTAATAACAGTTATAAAAACAACAGAATCACAATTATAACACAAAGAAACTAAGGGAACTATGAAAAACTGACATAATTGAAACACATTCTTCGCATATGCTTATTCTACCAGATAATTCATGATAATGAACACAAAATCATAACTATGTTTCTAAAAACTTGAACTGCAGCATCCGTATTTACCTATACCACCATGCTAAACCATGCTAAATAAAGTAATATTATATTGCTAGATTAGGATTAAAACCACTGTGGGTACAATGTTATTTGAGGGGTAACAATTTTTCATGGATTTTCTAGGTATAAATTAATCTAGAATTATAAATTTTCTATAGGCTTGTAAGCAAACTTTGGCAAAACAAGGGAATCATATATCAATGAAAATACAATTTTGCCTCGATCCACCAAAAATATGCACCCATGAAAATAAGTGAATGACAGTTTATGTCCCTTTCCATCTTTTTTTAATAACAAGGGTGCACATGCTGAAATGTCTCGCCTTCTTTACTAACCATTGATTTTATGCTGATAGTCCTAAATAAAAAGCTTTACTACACATTAACTTAACATGATCCAAGAAAATGAGGTCACGGTCAGATAAACGAAACGAGCAATACATGTACACCTTACAATCATTCAATAAACCAAACATAGTTGACGTATTGCTTATTGTTTCTAAGAAATAGTCTTAAACAAGAAAACTTAACATTGACCAATGAACCATAAAAATGAGGTCACGGTCAGATGAACCATGCCAGACAGTCATGTACACCTTACAATCCTTCCATACATCAAATATAGTTGATCTATTGCTTATAGTTGAAGAAAAACAGACCAAAACACAAAAACTTAACGCTGAGAAATGAACCGTGAAAATGAGGTCAAGGTCATGTAAACCTGTGAGACTGACATGTACATCATAAAATATTTCCATACACCATTTATAGTTGACCTATTGCATATAGTATTAGAAAAAAAAGACCAAAACTAAAAAACTTATCTTTGACCACTGAACCATGAAAATGAGGTCAAGGTCAGATGACACCTACTAGTTGGACATGTACACCTTACAATCATTCCATATACCAAATATAGTAGACCTACTGCTTATAGTATCTGATATATGGACTTGACCACGAAAACTTAACCTTGTTTCACTGATCCATGAAATGAGGTCGAGGTCAAATGAAAATTGTCTGACAGGCATGAGGACCTTGCAAGGTACGTACATACTAAATATAGTTATCCTATTACTCATAATAAGAAAGGAATTAACATTACAAAAAATGTTGACTTTTTTTTCAAGTAGTCACTGAACCATGAAAATGAGGTCAAGGACAATGGACAAATGACAGATGGAAACTTCGTAACATAAGGCATCTATAAACAAAGTATTAAGCATCCAGGTCTTCTAGCTTCTAAAATATAAAGCTTTTAAGAAATTAGCTAACAGCGCTGTAGCCGCCGCCTCTGGATCACTATCCCTATGTCGAGCTTTCTGCGACAAAAGACGCAGGATCGACAAAAACTATGAATACTTTGTATTTGTCATTAAGATTATAATTAGTAAGAGTGTCAGTTACCTTGTATTTGTCATCAAGATAATAATTAGTAAGAGTGTCAGTTACCTTGTATGTTTTATTAAGATTGTCAGTAACTTTCTATTTTTCAGTAAGATAATGAGTAACATTGTCAGTTACTTTTCCTCCTGTTACGTGTTTTACTGGTCAAGATTCTTCAACGTCCAGCCATTACAGTATCCTCCATCATTTGACAGTCGTGTTGTCCTCTACCCATCAGATAAAAACCTCAGAGACTACCTCAGCTGGAGACAGGCAGATTGTAAGTGATATTTAGCTCACCTTGTACAGAAGGTACAATTGAGCTATTGTCCTCACTCGGCATCCATTGTTGTTGGTGGTCAAAAGTTTTTAAAAAAATCGTCTGCTCTACTTTTAGCCAATCCATAGCAGCCTGTTTTTGCTTGGTGAGCATAGGGGGTATGATTTTTGAAATTGGATACCCTATGGATGATTGCTATGGCTAAAAATAAAGGGTAGGGGTTAAGTCATGTTTTAGGCTTACATCTTGGAAATTATAAAAGATAGAAGAAAAGCCACCTTAAAACTTTATGTTGGTCAAAAATAGATTATTATAATAAATCTTTATTTAGAGAGAGTAACAAAGTGACCTCATGTTGATGATTCATTGATCAATGTTAAGTTTGTGTGGTTTGATCCTTTTCTCAGATACTTTAAGCAATAAATCAGCTATATTTGGTGTATGGTATGATTGTAAGATGCACATATCTGTCTGGAAAGTTTCATCTGACCTTGATCTTTTTCTCATGGTTCGTTGGACAATGTTAAGTTGTGTTTTGGTCAATTCTCAGATACTATAAACAATAGAGCCACTATATTTTGTGTATGGCATACATGTCTGTCTGTCAGGTTTCTTCTGACCTTGATCTCATTTTCATGATTCATTGGTCAATGTTAAATTTTCCTGGATTTATCAGTTTATGAATCACTATTTATAAGCAATAGGTCAACTATATTTGGTGTATGGAATGATTGCATGCTGAACATGTTGTCTGGCAAGATTAATCTGACCTTGACCTCTTTTCACTAGTCAATGTTTAGTTATCATAATTAGGTCTGTTTCTGAGATAATATAAGCAAATAGGCTCACTATATTTGGTGTATAGTATGATTTTATGGTGTACATGTCTGTCTGGCCTCTGACTGGACATGACTTTGACCTCATTTCCATGAATAATTTTAAATTTATGTGATACTTGTAGTAAAACCTTCATATTACAGACTTTCAACAGAAGTTAAATCACAATAAGTAAAGTAGGCGAGACATTTCAGCGTCTGCACTATTGTTTATTAAATAGTTGTTTCTGAAGCTTAAAAAAATCATATCAATAATCTTTTCATATACAATGTACATTTTCATTTTCCTAAAAGCCCCACAGCATGTTTTCTCCTTACTATAACTTCTATAGACGCTGCATGAGGTTTTTATTTGTTGCAGTATTTGAATCTTCTATAACAAAGCCCTTAATTTGAAAAGCTTAAATTACTATTTTTCTTTACCGTTACTCCAAAGGAGAGGATATGTTGGTTTAACCCTGTCTGTTTGTCCATCCATGTGTCTGTCAATCTGTTTGTAACACATTTTTGTTCCGTTTTCCTCAGGAACTACAAATCAAGGTTTTTTTTATTATATGGCACCACCTTCTTGAAGTTATGCCATACTGTGTGACACTTTTTCAATACCTTTCATGTGCCTCTTCAAATACCAGGCTCTAACAGAAAACAAATAGTTATATAGACATGAATTAAACAAGGGAGATAATCAAAACTATACAAAGCCTTGTCTTTCATTACGAATGATGTTTATATATATTTATAATAATTTTGAACAGTTCTACTCTATATTAAATATTTGTCACATTTTCTCAGCAACTACAAGTCATAGCTTCTTGATATACAGCATCAAACATCATCTGGTTAAGCCATGCTGTCTGAAACATTTCAGTGTCTTTGATTATTATTTCTGTTCGCAGAAAACTTATAACTTTAAAATGTCATGCACATAGCTGAATTTTTCGTCACTGCAACTGGGGGGTATAACTAATGTGCAATAACTCACAGTACAATGTACATCTTTTTTTTTTCAGGCCACATAAACAATCTGTATAATACATGTTTCTGGAAACTAGTGCAAGATAAAGGTTTTACACCAGCTCAGTCTCAGGAAAGATTAAAGGTAACATCTATTAATCTCTTTATTAATAATTATTTAAAAATAAGGAGATGTGATATGATTGCCAATAAGACAACTCTCCAACATAGACCAATGGACAAGGGTGTAAACAATTCCAGGTCACTGTATATGGCTTTCAACAATGAGCAAAACCCATACCCATATCTATAGGATATAAAAGACCCAGGAAGAAATGTGAAACAATTCAAAAGAGAAAACTAACAGCCTGATTTAAGTTATAACTTTAATGAAAATCAATTATAGCAAACAGGAACCAATGACAACCACTGGACTACAGGCTCCTGGCTTTGGATACAAAGAATGCAAAAAAAATAAAAAAGCACACAAAAAATGTAGAGATTAAAACTTGTTTCAGAACGCTCAACCTTCCATCTAACCTTGGACAATGCTGTAACACTACATTATTAGAGCAAACTGTAAAAATCAGATGATTCTTTAGATCGGTACGAAGCACAATAACAACTAATGAAATGACACAAGACACTAACTACCGATCTAATAGTGCTTGCAGTTACTGACAGTAACCAGTGTTTTGAAAAGAAAAATTAATGCAATAAATAACTGCATTTATCTTGGCAAGGCTCTGCTGTGCTACAAAACGAATGTCTTCTTAAAGCACTTTTGAAAAATTTTTGAAACTATTTAAACAACAATTAGCTGTTTTATCAACCCTTAAAACAGTTGAAATTATGACTTGTTTATGACAGAAATGCTCATTTCATTATTTTAAAAACTATTTCTTCAAGAGAAAAAAGGAAATACATATTTGAGTGAATTGCTTCTTTTTTATCTGCGTCGCTAAAGGTGAAAGCAGGTCTAGTATCTACTGGACTCCGTCTGTATGTCTGTCAAAAAGACCTTGGGTAGAAAATTTTAGTTTTCTTTACTTCTATGAATGAGAATGATTTAATATTTGGTTTGCAGCTTTATAATATTAAGTTCACTGTTGTAGCTAGTAAGCAATGTTTACATCTGTGATGTATCCACTTCCTGTTTGCATATAGTTGAAGTTTTACTACACTCATTACACAAGGAACATTTTATTAAACTTTTCTTTGATTGTATCATGGGGAATGGTTTAATATTTGGTTTGCAGCTTGAATTTTGAGTTGTAGCCAATATTTTGAAATTTTACAACACTCATGCATTGTACAAGGAAAATGTTCATCACATTTTTTTGGTCTTTAATGAAAGGGAATGATCAGTTATGCTCCAGTATACATGACACTTCAATCAACTGCATGCAGTAACACAGGTCCAGACACTGTATTGGTCTTGTTATTAATTTTCTACTACAACATAGGAATATAATATTATGAGATTATAAAGTGACATTTTTCTGTTGATTATAATAGACATATTTTGTTTTAATTTGCAGGGAACAATGTCTAGTGATAAAAATGAACTGTTATATCAAGAATTTAATACAAACTACAACAATTTACCAGATGTATATAGGAAAGGTTCTATACTTATACCGAGTAAGGTAGGTTTCATTATTTACTGTTGAATGATGTATACTGGAAGGTTCTATACTTCTACCGAGTAAGGTAGGTGTTACAATTTACTGTCGATGTGAGATCTTTGGCAGCTTCTAGTTAATTTGTATTATACTGTAATCGTTCTAGTAAAACTGTTTAGATTGTATAAATGTATGTGATATACAGCTATTGGACATATAAAGCCATAGGCCATGCCTACCACTGAGAATACTTTTTCTAAAATTTGCAATGAAATGTTCTTCAAGGTGGGCACCTATTTTAGGGTCATTTCTCCAACAAAAATATGAACAAACGTTATTATTCTTATCCTTATTAGTTGATAAAATTGTATAAGTTATTATATTCATGGCTTGTGGTTGATATTTAATTCTGCAATCGGCCCACTCGTTAACGTGAGTGATTTCAATTACACATATTTTGAAACGTAACAATTCTACTCTGCCTAAGTAAGTGGCCTTTAAAAGCACTGAATGGATATATATAAACTTTTTTTAGATTGTAGTATAAAGACAACAATAGTGTATTGCCTTGACATAATAAGGATATAAGGATTCAGCACAAAACTTGGGAAAATTGTTGCTAGAGTCTAGCATTTTCCCTGTTTCTAAGTCTAATCCTTAAATTGTTATCATGTGAAGTTAATACACTTTTATAGTCTTTCTGGATGGAATGGTTTAGTGATTGGCATATGATATGGAGATTTGTCTTTCATTTAAGACTGTATTTAAATATCTTTGTTTGTTTATTGTGTTGTTTGTTGTTGACATGTACCCTGCAAGGCTACAACTCCTCTCATTTATATTTAAAACTGGTATATGCATTAGCAGTATCATCTTATAATCACTTGCTCTGCTGATCACCTGTTTATTGTAATAGATTATGAAAATTTTGTCATGACTGGGCCTTTCATAGCCGACTATACAGTATGAGTTTTGCTCATTATTGAAGACCATACCGTTACCTATAGTTGCTTATATCTACGACATTTGGACTCTGTTGGATAGTTGTCTTAACTGCAATAATACCACATCTTATTATTTTAACAATGACACTAATAAATGTTATAAAACCTGATTTCTGTCATTTTGACAGCCTCTTTTTATGTTTATATTTTTTTATTTCAGGAAAAAGCAGTAGAATCTAAACCTATGAACTCTACCTATCCTAATACAAAGGAGCCTCATCGTGGTTCTGTGTCATTTAGTAACTCATTGGATCATGGTACGAAAATGAATCCAAAAATAGACGTTCTACATGTGGACTTAATAGGAGAAAAATTCTGGGAGGAACATTCTAACATACTGACTAGTAGATGATAGATAGTATTGTTTATTAAATTACAGTATTTACCTGTGCAAATATATTTGTTAGTTGTCCATATAGAGTATACCAACTAATTTTCGTTAACAATAATTTATGGTCTTGCAAACTTGATGAGATTGTAGCTGAGAAGTCCATCTCATTTTCAGAACTATATATAATAATTATAGTTTAGATATATGGTTCTGAAAACAATGGCTACAATCTCTTGTAGCTTGAAAAACCATAGATAATTTGTTAATTGCTAAATTCCTAGGCAACATCAATGACGTTGGGTTTGTGACATTAATGCATTCTCACTCTATTCGACTGAGAAAAACCCATCTCTGTCAAGCAGCTTTAGGTGGAAAATTATAACACTAAAAGATCAAATGAAACTTTGGAGAAAATAGCGATAATTTATGTATATTACATATTGAATAGTATCTGTGATGACTATAACACTTCATGTTAATCTGCTGAGTAATTTCTGTGTAACATTTAATTCTCTAAATCATATCATGATGATTTGAATAACTTGTCATATTCAAAGTCTTGAATGGTAGAAAAACTTTTCAAACTCAGATTATCTGACAGAGTAAGGTTTTAATTATTGTAAATTCAGAAAATCAAGGAATTATTTTTGTTCTTTTGGCCTAATGAAAGGTGTCTATGATTATTACCTACTGTGTGCTCCATGATCTGTAAAAATTCACTTTATCATTAAAATATTTTAATGAAAAGCAGGAACAAATCAGAGAATTTCATAGCTCTCATTGGGTGGATGTTATCCGTTATCATTTCTTAGTTATATTTAATTTCTTCATTTAAACATTGGGAAGTTGGTATCAGCTTTAAGATATATTTAATTTCTTCTTCTAAACATTGGGAAGTTGGTATCAGCTTTAAGATATATTTTATTTCTTCTTCTAAACATTGGGTGGATGGTATTAATTCTTTCTTATATTTTAATTCTTCGTCTAAACATTTGGTTGATGGTATCAGTTTTTAACAATATTTTATTTCTTCATCCACAATGATATATACTCCTTGAAACTCTTACATAAAGTAAGATTGGAGGATTACCAATCTGTATGCAGTTTCCCTCATTTGTGTAGATTATATTTTTTATGCAGTTTATATCTCTTTAGTCCTTTTCTTATATAATTACATTTTGCAGGTGCATTGTCTGTTTTTACATCATGAAAATATGTAAAAATTGGTAATGGAACTTTCAAAGTTTATACATCATTATTTAATGTGATTTTAACTTCAAATGATTTCAAAGAGTTAAATCTTCAGTTTATTGCAAGCCATTGCGGGGCATGATCTAGGAAACAGATTACTGAGGTCATTATTGGATGTCCAAATATAAGATTATCATATAAATATGGCCCTAAGTAATCAGTCACATAATACTCAAAAGCTCTCGTCTGAAGAACTTTTATGATTTTAAGTTTATTCAAGGTACCATATGAAATGATTAAAAGTACAAACAAGAAGATCTGTTACTTGTTAAAAATAACCGAAGGTCTTTAGGAAAGTATGAGAAGCCCTTTTAAAATTATAAATAAGATATTGTTGATGAGCTCCAAAAGAGGTAGATGTTTTCAAATCTCAAAACAAGCTAAAAAAAAAAGAAGAAGAATTTGAAATTAAGATCGAAGAACCATTTGTATAAATAGACATGATAAGTCGTCTCAACATAACTGAACTTTCAACTTTTGTCATATTGCAAATATTTATTCTTTGGTACATTTATCATAAAGATGTCAGCAATCATTTTCAAACAATATTTTTCATTCCAAACATGCATTTTTTTTTGTTTTTCTTGAAACAAATTACATTAACATAACTGTAGGTGATGCAAGCTTTTTATTTCTAATTTTTTACAAGGTTTGTCCATCCTTTGAACTATATAGACAATTTCTAAATTCGAGCAGCTATACTGTAATAAAAATTTCCATTTCTACCAAAATCGTAGGTAGTTTAGACATGGATATTTTCCCCATTTTTAATGCATAAAATTTTATGTGTGGTTAAATTCATTCAGTGAATGATAAGTGCGCCGTCCAAAATATTGTTGATTTGTATAAACTATTATTGATTCTAAATTTTTCATGGATTTGACAAGATCTCAAAATAAGCAAAATTACCCTCTTGCAAAAATTTCCTTGTTAACAGTGAGTAGGGCACACAGTAGCTTTAACACTAAAATTTTCATTCATAAAAGTTAACATTTCACCAGAATTTTTTTATAGCATTATTTGAGTATATTTCAGTAACCAGTATGTTTTTAATATTGTAAGGTATGAATGATTTAAATATTATGCATATACGTTCAGTTGTTACAATATTATCTTTATACTTATTAAATATGCAATATCGTTATTTCTCTTTAATGGCATGGTTGATACAGACAGATTAAATGTCTTACTAATTATTACGGCAGATTGTGGGTTGGAAATAAGTATTTGCTGCTTTTCTGGTAAGCCAGGGCGTTAAGGAGTATGGCAAAAACTAGTCGGCTAGGAGTAAAAAAAATGTGTCCAGGTAGGGTTACACGTTAAAATCCGGCTCAGAGTGTCTGTTTAGTACTAAGCAGGGTTAATATTTTTATTACATTAACATGCTCTCATCCTGAATATGCATTTGATTTGCTGCTGGGCGTTTAACAGCCATCCATCATCATTATATGATGGGATATGGATCGAATGTTTGTTGCTTAATAAAGGCACGTAAAGTCTTATGCATAATGCATTTCATGGCTTTCACATACAAGCCTTTTTGATAATAATATCTACTCTTTATTTTCAATTTACAGTAAAACCTGCTTAAAGGGTCACCTCTATTAAGCCAAACCTATCTAGGCAGGTCACCCACTTCTGAAAACAATCCTACCAAGAATGAAAGGGTTTGGGCAAACAGTCTTGGTCGAGCAGTCATCACAAGGTTTTATTATACTGCAATGGGCCAAATATTGTCATAATTATGACTTCGGTGACAAGTCTGTGCCAACGATATTAAGACTATGTCAAACACATTTGACATCACTAAGCCATGATGAAGGATGATACAGGCACAGAAGGGATAGATAAATTTTGTTTATCAATTCTTACAGAGGAGTATATTATAACAAATTTATCATTCTCTGATTCAAACAGGTTTTGTTAAAGGAATGATACAGATCAATATGGCATGTATAACCTTTACTCTTTTAAAAGTAAATGGTGATCATTGTAAAGTTGGAAAACAAGCAATAATTCAGTCAAGATTGCTCATTTCAACATTTTTAACCGGATTTTCGAAGGAAATATCGGTTATTAAAATGGTGATATACGGCGGGCGGTTTGGCGGCTGCCAAACAGTGTCCGCACAATAACATGAAAAACGCTTTAACAAATTTTTTTCAAATTTAAATATGTTGTTTCCTGGGACTTAATGAAGGTCTCTATTAATTTTCAAGATTTTAGTATATCTCCTTTGTGAGTTATCGCCATTTTTAATATCCAAAAGTAGAATTTTTAAATATTTTACTGTTGTTATCATGATTTGTCTTATCTCAGAATAAAAATTGGAGTGACAGATTTATTTGAAAATTATCTAGTTCCTAAGTGGTAATGATTATAAGCTATATCATTAGACATTTTGAAGATTATTACATTATTAATTATGTTAGAGTACTATGTTAAACAACCATAGTTCTGTTCAATTAGATATTATAAATATTTCAGCATATGATAATGATTTATTTTCATTATTAATTAGATCTTGGAAATATTCTAGCATATGATAATCATTGGAGTGACAGATTTATTTGAAAATTTTCTGTTTTCTGATAAGATCTGTAGGACTGTATATATACAGTTTGAAACTTACTAGTATTACTGTTTAAATGAAGTTTGGAATTTACTGTTCATTATTAGACATTTTGTAGATAATTAAGTGTCCGTTAATCATATATATTCTTACCCCTACCCCCCTTCAATTTGATAATGTGCTTTTATCTTCTAAACGGTTGAGATCCCTACTCCTAAACCATATATATTTTTGTATGGGACAATAAAACAAGTCAAATGAAATATTGGGATAGTCCTCTGGTTCACAGCTACCCTCCTTTTTTTGAAAACTTGTAAATGTGTAAGCTCCCCACCCTGAAACCTTATATATTCTTGTGTATTACAAATCAAATGAAATAAAAGGTGAGTCCCCTGGGGTCACCCCCAGCATGTCTGTTTGAGAACTTGTAAACAGTCGAGATCCCCACCCCTAAACCATATATATTTTTGTATGGGACAATAAAAGAAATCAAATGAAATATAGGGGAAGTCCATTGTGGTAACCCCCCACCCACTTCTGTTTGAGAAATTGTAAACGGTTGAGATCCCCACCCCTAAACCATATTTATTCTTGTATTTGACAATAAAACAAATCAAATGAAATATAAGGTGAGTCCCCTTGGGTCACCCCCACCCCCCTCCTGTTTAAGAACTTGTAAAAGGTTGAGCTTTTCATTATTAATAAGATACATGTAATACCACATTTAGGTCCAAAGGGTCCTAAATTAAACTTTTGTTTAATTTCATCAAATATTGAATTCTTTGGTTCTTTGATATGCTGATTCTAACAATGTTTGAGTGTTAAATCAGATCTAATTTTAGAGAACTTAGTCATCATTGGTTGTTGTTATTATATTATTGATTATAATTTGAAAAATTGCATCATATCTTATTTTAGAGAACTATTTATCCAGTTTGAGTTATTTCCATTTGCACAGAAAATATTATGGATAAAATTAATCTGTGTTTCATTTCAATATAAATTAAATATATATATAGGAATCTTTCAAATGCTGAATCTAAACTCTATTTAAATATTAGATTTTTAGGCCCAGTTTTCAAGTTGGTCCAAATCAGGGTCCAAAATTAAACTTTGTTTGATTCAACAAAAATTGAATGTATGGGGTTCTTTGAAATGCTGAATCTAACCATGTATTGAGAGATTTTGGATTGTGGGCTCCTTTATCAAATTGGTCCACATTGAGGTCCAAAGGGTCCTAGATTAAACTTTTGTCTGATTTCATCAAAAATTGAATTCTTGGGGTTCTTTGATATGCTGATTCTAATATGTACTTAGATTTGGGATATTGGACCATAATAGGTATTTAAATGTCCAATTTCAAATATATCAGTTCTTTGACTACATTTATTTTGTGTCACAAACCTATGATGTGTCAAATATTCAATCACAATCCAAATTCAGAGCTGTTTTAAGTTTAGATGTAGTGTCCATACTTGCTCAACTGTTCAGGGTTCTACCTCTGCAGGAGAATCCGGTTTGCTGTCTCTCTGACAGCCTCTTGTTACATTTTAAACTATAAGTAATGCTAGCAAAGCTCACAAAATGATACCCCAGCCCCTTTCAGTTAAGATTGTGAAAAATTTTCAATAAATTGTAATACAGCATTCAGGAGGAGTAGCAGATACAATCAAAGTACTGAAGTACTGAACATCGGATGACCGAGAGTTCTTGTGGATAGTCACAAGCACTTGTCTCAGAAAAAAAAATCACATCTCTATACCTGAAAGTGAGGTTAATGTACAGAGATATATTTTTTCTGAGACAAGTTTGTGCGTGGATGATGAATAAATGACAGGGAATTCAACCTCACTGTAAAAACTATTATATTGTAGTGATACAAATCAGTATACTCTGGTTTGTTGTTATATATTATATTAATATTTTTATATAACAGTTACATGTATATATAATTTTCATCTATTTGTATATCATTCTATTCTACTATTCTAATAATAGTGCAGTGCAAGTACATGGTGAATACTCTTCTGTATTAATTTGATTTTTCTAATAGATTGGATTTGAGCAGGCATTCATATTTTCCCACAAAAACAAATATTTCTAACGACAAAACATTTTCATATCATTAATTTATGTTCTAAAAAAAATATTTTTAGGAGTATTCATTGAAGAAATGAATTTATAACAAGCGATAAGGAATGTTATTTTGCACTCAATAATGTCTGCGTATTTATACGAACGGTTACCAGCCAAAAACGAAAGTCAAATCTCTGGCAACAATACATCGGAATGCCCTCAGTTATCGCGATGTAAAAAGTGTACCGTACCCTCCAATTGAAGCAATAGCAAAGTCCATGTTTGGTAAGGGAAACCCAATCACTATATACCAACTGCTTTAGTAAACGGGGTATAATTATGTGACAATAGATACTAAGTCCAGGTAGTACCAGGCTCTGCCACTTTAAATCTTCTTGAGTTGGAATTAAAAAGTCTTTTAATTCTTTGTATCTTTATTTCTTTAAAAAACACTAATAAAATCAACTTTTTAAACAGATAAAAAAGATAGGTGTAAAAGATGAACAATTAATAAAAGCCTAAATAAAATGCACATTTTAATTATAATTATTGATTAAGATTAAACAATGTTTTAAGTGATAGTGGTTATTCTGCTAGTAGCTAGACTATGCAGGTTTTTATCATAGCATATATGATCTAGATTGGTAGAAGGGTTGGTTTGTATGCAAGTAAAACAGATATATCTTCACATTTTGTCCCTGTAAAGTTATTTGGAACATGTTCCTTTTTGTTGTGTGCTGTCTAATATTGCAGGTAACAACTGTTATCCTTTTTATTAATCAGATACTAAGAACATTGGAATCAAAAGTCAAACAGAAATGCATGGTGCAGTTATAACATATATATCCAATGAAGACAATAATATGAAAGAACCACAAAATTAATTGAAGCCTATGTATATTTAAAAAGACCTCACTTTTCTCTACTTGCTTTAAATATATTTTCATTCAATTTGTATTTAAATAAACCATCTCTTATTCTGTTTAATGTTGGACAACAAATGATATACATGCTTTTCATATAATTGTATTCACTAAACTGGGTTTATCATCAAATGTCAAAAATATAGAATGGGTAGCTTTAATTAGTACATGTAATGAAAACAAGAATATGTGTCCATAGAACACCTGTCTCACTTGCACTATCACATTTCCTGTCCATAGGACACCTGTCTCACTTGCACTATCACATTTCCATGTTCAGTGAACAGTAAAATGTGTGCAAACCCTTACATATAATATATATTATATATTTCAAAAGGTTCACACCATAATGAAATATGTATTTTAAAGTTTCAAGTTGATGTGACCACAACTCAATGGATAACTACCTTACACCATGTGGAAAGGATGTTGGGACATACTGATAAACCAATGCATAATCCTGAATAAATAATGCCACCATACTATCGAAGGTGGTACATAATGATGGTTTGGATGGATTCAACAACTCTTCATAAAGTTTAAACCACCATAAACAACCTCGTAATTTATTTGTCTGTTTATCACCACATGTATCAATTATAATTATAAATATCATATACATTAGTGTAGATACATTAAAACTACAGGTCACAATAGAAACTTTAGAAAAAAGTACATTAAAATTATTCCTAAATCTAAGCAAACAATAAAACTTAATCTGACAGAGGAAATGTTATGAAAATGGAATAAATAACAAATAACCTATCATGTTACAGATCCTGTTATGATAATACATTTATTGTAAGAATCCCTTTAGAGTAGTAAAACATTACATCTGAATAAATAGTGAAGAAATGATTGTTTTGCATTTGATAACTAATGTCTACTTCTGCCTATACTTGTTGTCAAGAATGTGTCTGCAATGATTAGTGACTGGGTGAGAAATTTTCTATAAAATATAAAAATTAATACAATTATATAAAAAGCTGAACAAGTTTTGATTATATTTTACAAATTAATCCCTGATTGCAAGCTAAAAATCATTCAATGGCTGTCAAAGTAAGTAACAACAGAGACATATAATACAACTAGCATAAAAGAAAATTAAACATTCATAATACATGGATAATGATGCAAATGTAAGTCACATGACCTCTATCGTTTTCATGTTATAACAATAAAAGATGAGAAAGAAACCTGATATCAAATGGTCCAAGACTAAAAGAATGTAAAAGTCTGATATACAAGTTGAATGTGCCTCAACAAACCTTATTCATTTAATCAACGGTTTATGTCATCAACAATCAATAAGTGTGATAAGAATATAAGAAATGTGCTGAACTCCAGTATAATCACAATTCCAATGATGAAGGCAGATCTTTGATAATTGCTTTTCAATGTTCACGACTTGTAGCTGGGGCGGATATAGATGTAAAGACAGGTGATTATATGTTGGCCTCTACTAGTGTTTTGTGGGTTTGTTCCATGTCCTTGGGTTGCTGTCTCACTGACATATACCCCACATCTATTCTTATTCAAATCCAAAATTAGTGGAAAATACAGAAAAAAACAGAAAATATTATTTTAAGAAACTACGATTTGTTTTCCTGACTTTATATGGGCACTACCTACAAGAATTTCGTTAGTAAAATAAATCACTGTTTCACTGAATATTTAAAAATCCTTTGTTCTACAAATATTCATACATTTACTAAAAGTATTAAACAATTGATGATCTGTTTGTTGCTTGATTGGAAGAAATAAAGAAAGCAATAAATTACAAATTTTGAAACAATAAAAATATTTAAACATTTCAACATTTGTTTATAGATTGCTCATAAAATGACCATGGTAAAATGTCATACTACATGTATGTCAACCTTTCATTAATTCTCAATAACCAGATTTCAATATGAAAACCATTTCACAAAATGTCTTTAACAGAAGCTTGTATAATTTGTTAATAAATAAGTATAAATAATCATATATACATCAATAATACTCATAAAAAAATGTGTATACAAAACTCCACTTTTATTCTATCCATGTAGGACTAGAAGTTAATTTCTTAAGAATGTTTTGTTTATATTGCTCTGCTTTAATTTCAACTATACATTGTCTTGTCATTCATATGGTTCTCTTACTCTAACATCAACATTATATTTAGAAAAATATATTTAAAAAAATAAATAAACAAATCCAATAACTTGTTAACAAATTATTTTCATCACAGATAATAAACCATGTAAAAACTAGAATATAAATTTTGACACATTCTAGCTTATTGCCAATAATGATATAATAATCAAATATTTTTTCTAGCTCTACAAGATGCCCAAAAAGTTTCCAACAGATCCTTTCATAGTAATTTGAAAGATTGCTCAGATTTTTTCATTAGTGTCATCATGTTATACTTTCAAAAAAAATGGATTCTTTTACTTTGCTTCTGAGCATGTTTGAATATTTAAACAAAAGGAACTATTCTAGGCAAGTCATGATTGTGTGACATGGATTTCATTAAATTAATACCTATATTACTATGATCGTAGATTGTGAGAAATGTTCAATATTCTTTCTGCTAAAATTTTCTTTTCTGCTTTCAGTCTTTTATAATCTGGTTTCAGTAACAATAATACTAAACACACAGCAATCACAGCATAACCATTGGCAACCAGGTTTGGCACTGAAAAAAATATTTTAAGTTTGTTAAAATGTTAATTCATAGATATAGCATCCCACATAATGCCATCTTGATAACTATGAATAATTTAAAGCTACACATATTGTATAAACACTGGTCTATTGTTGAAGACTGTATGTTGACCTCTAGATGTCTTTTGGTTTTTTATGTTGTTAGGTTGTTGTCAGTTATGAATACCTCAAATCTTCCTTATATTCATATATATTTCGACTCCTCAGGATGATCAAACCTGTAATTTGTTTAACTGTGATGTATGATGTGAATATACAGTAAAAGCAGTAATTTTCATTGCTGTTTAAATTTTGTTTATTTCATACATAAAATATAATCAACAAAATCAAAACACACAAAAAAATCAATGTGACAACAGTATAAACAAGAATGTGTCCATAGTACACGGATGCCCCACTCACACTATCATGTCCATAGTACACGGATGCCCCACTCACACTATCATGTCCATAGTACACGGATGCCCACTCACACTATCATGTCCATAGTACACGGATGCCCCACTCACACTATAATGTCCATAGTACACGGATGCCCCACTCACACTATCATGTCCATAGTACACGGATGCCCCACTCACACTATCATGTCCATAGTACACGGATGCCCCACTCACACTATCATGTCCATAGTACACGGATGCCCCACTCACACTATCATGTCCATAGTACACGGATGCCCCACTCACACTATCATGTCCATAGTACACGGATGCCCCACTCACACTATCATGTCCATAGTACACGGATGCCCCACTCACACTATCATGTCCATAGTACACGGATGCCCCACTCACACTATCATGTCCATAGTACACGGATGCCCCACTCACACTATCATGTCCATAGTACACGGATGCCCCACTCACACTATCATGTCCATAGTACACGGATGCCCACTCACACTATCATGTCCATAGTACACGGATGCCCCACTCACACTATAATGTCCATAGTACACGGATGCCCCACTCACACTATAATGTCCATAGTACACGGATGCCCCACTCACACTATAATGTCCATAGTACACGGATGCCCCACTCACACTATAATGTCCATAGTACACGGATGCCCCACTCACACTATCATGTCCATAGTACACGGATGCCCCACTCACACTATCATGTCCATAGTACACGGATGCCCCACTCACACTATCATGTCCATAGTACACGGATGCCCCACTCACACTATCATGTCCATAGTACACGGATGCCCACTCACACTATCATGTCCATAGTACACGGATGCCCCACTCACACTATCATGTCCATAGTACACGGATGCCCCACTCACACTATCATGTCCATAGTACACGGATGCCCCACTCACACTATCATTTTCTATGTTCAGTGGACTGTGAAATTGGGGTCAAAACTCTAATTTGGCATTAAAATTAGAAAGATCATATCATAGGGAACATGTGTACTAAGTTTCAAGTTGATTGGACTTCAACTTCATCAAAAACTACCTTGACCAAAAACTTTAACCTGAATCGGGACAGACTGAAAACATAATGCCCCTAGGTGGGGCATAAAAAGTAATCAATGTGTGTACAATATAGATATTTTTAAAACTTATTGAATCAGAAGTCTTCACATTTAACAATGTAGGTATTTGAATTCATTTGGTCATGACTTATGAGTCAGCGACTCTTTTCACAAAAAAATCTTACGATTAAAATTCATCGTAAGTTATACTGAAATGTGTATGACTTACGAGTATTTTTCCTCTTCAGATTTTTTGTGAAAAGAGTTGCAGGTTTTGTCATCTTGAATATGAGATAAACAGATGCTAATGTAACAGCAGTCAAAACATTAATGGTAAATCACATGGTCCTCTATATAAACTTATCTAACCAAAAAACTTAACATCTTAACAATGGTATACCACATGGTCCTCTATATAAACTTATCTAACCAAAAAACTTAACATCTTAACAATGGTATACCACATGGTCCTCTATATAAACTTATCTAACCAAAAAATTTAACATCTTAACAATGGTAAATTACATGGTCCTCTATATAAATTTATCTAACCAAAAAACTTAACATCTTAACAATGGTAAATTACATGGTCCTCTATATAAACTTATCTAACCAAAAAACTTAACATCTTAACAATGGTATACCACATCAACCTGTTTATAAATATATCTAACCAAAAAACATTTATAATATAATAAGTCTGGAGTCTGTGAAGCATTAATGTAGGGACCACTTCAAAAATAAAGTCAAAAATATCAGTATGGTGAAACACTTAAAATCAAGAAACAGAATGGTAGCATCAATATCTTTCCTCCAGTAATATTCATCACAAGAAATAGACTTCTTTTTATATTGAATGCAAATTTCTCTAGTCCACAAAGTGAAATTAATTATTTCTATATTTCCTGTAGGCCTTTTGTATATTAAGAAAAACAAATGTAAGATAACATAATGACAGATATCTTATACACAAACAGACTAATTATTTAGGATAATATTAAGACATTGACTTCATTCCCGAATTTTAATACATGTAGATTTCCACAAAATTTGAACACAAATCTGACTGTACAGTCTATGATATTGTCACTTGAATTAATTTTAAAAAATACTAAAGTAGTATTTCTTTGTTTTTATAAACTGCTTCGCTGAGCGCAGCTGGATATGCCCGCAGAGGTCCAACCCAGAACAGTTGGGGCAAAAATGGACACAATATTCAAGCTTGATACAGGTCTGAATTTGGATTGTAATTAAATATTTGACATATTATAGGTTTCTGAATAAATGTAGTCAAAGAACTTGAAATTGGTTATATGAATTGAATTTATATTCAATTAAAGATTTCTTGCTGCTGTGCAATACACTGTGCTGTTGCGCAATACTTAGTAAATCTGTTGTCAGACTATAAACAAATAAAGTTCAATTCTTCTCAATGTCATATTTGAAATTTATGAAAATCAATAGGGAGATTTCATCAATAGCTATAAATAATGCACCAAAGTTTCATGAGAACTGCTGAAACCATTTTTGAGTTATTGTCCAAAAACTGGAAAATCCCCCTTTTTTAATGAATAAACCCCATAACTCAGAAATGTAAAATCTAAAGTTTATAAAATTCAAAAGGGAGCTTACATCAACAGATATAAACAATTCACCAAAGTTTCATGAGAACTGCTGAAAGCATTTTTTAGTTATTGTCAAAAAACTGGAAAATCCCCCTTTTTTTATGAATAAAACCCTGTAACTTGGATACGTTAAATCTAAACTTTATAAAAATCCAAAAGGGAGCTCATGTCAATAGATATAAACAATTCACCAAAATTTCTTGCAAGTTGGAGAAAGCATTCTTGAGTTATTGTCGGAAAACTGGAAAATCCTCCCTTTTTTAATGAATAAAACCCCAAAACTCGGAAACGGTAAATCTGAAATTTATAAAAAACGAAAGGGAGCTCACGTCAATAGATCTAAACAATTCATCAAAGTTTCATGCATATTAGTTAAAACTTTTTTGAGTTAATGTCCGGCATGTTGACGACAGACGGACGGACAACGGTATACCATAATACGTCCCATAAACGGGCGTATAAAAATAAAAAGATGTGGTATGAGACAACTCTCCAGCAGAGACCAAATGACGTAGAAGTTAGCAACTATATGTCACCATATTTCTTTCAACAATGAGGAAAACCCACACTGCATAGCAAGCTATAAAAGGCCCGAAATGACAAATGTAAAATAATTGAAACAAGAGTTCCCTTTTAATGTGTTATTTCATGGTGTCAGTACAATAAATACCTGTCCATTCCTGAGGTGTGAACTGTGAAGTACTGTTACCTGAACAACCTGTAAATAGATATATAAAAATTGAGAGTGAGTTATACAAAATGCATATTTTACAGTGCTAGAAATTTATCAAATTAGTAGATTATTTGGTGTCTTTTAAGTTTTTTTTCATAATAAGGTTAAGGATAATAAATATACTTTGCTTGCATTCTTATTTATACACCTTATCAATATAGGACTGCCAGTAATGGATATCACAGATGTTTCCATAAAATTTTGACTTGTGAGAAAATGCCTGACACCAAAAAAGCAAATAAGATGGTGTATGACATTAAAAAGGGTACCCTTGTTGAAAAATCTTGGGTTAAATATAAAGATTCACAAATAGCAATAAGGTCTATACCTGGTTTAGAGGAAACAGTCAGGAATGAAAAAAACCTCAACTTAAAACTTATATACATGTATAAAGCGTATGCTCATCTGTTATTAGCTCCTTACAAGAACCATCTAACCCTTAAAAACAAATCCTGCTTACATAAAAAACGCACAATCTTTATGAACTGATCCATAAATATTTTTCCTGCCTTCTGAACATCCAGTTCCTATAGCTAAATCTTCTGGTGATAAAAGCAGGACTAAAAACTGTAAAACTATTGTAAATTAAGAAATTATTGCGACGTTTTTATTAATGCGAATAATGTGACTCCTTGAATATTGCAATAATAAGAACTGGCATTCTGATATTTGATAAATATAACTGTATGTAACTTCCTAAAATCGCAATAATTAATCTAGCATTTTTGTTCATTCTTTCAAAATCGCTACAATTTCTGAATTTACAGTAATATTATACCTACCCCCAGAACAGCCAGTTCCTATAGCTAAATGTTCTGGTGATAAAGGCTGGGCTAAAACACTAATATTGCACCTACCTCAAGAACAGCCAGTTCCTATAGCTATATCTTCTGGTGATAAAGGCTGGGCTAAAACACTAATATTACACCTACCTCAAGAACAGCCAGTTCCTATAGCTAAATCTTCTGGTGATAAAGGCTGGGCTAAAAACTGTAACACTAATATTAAACCTACCTCCAGAACAGCCAGTTCCTATAGCTAAATGTTCTGGTGATAAAGGCTGGGCTAAAACCTACCTCCTGAACAGCCAGTTCCTATAGCTAAATCTTCTGGTGATAAAGGCTGTGCTAAAAACTGTAACACTAATATCATACCTACCTCCTGAACAGCCAGTTCCTATAGCTAAATCTTCAGGTGATAAAGGCTGTGCTAAAAACTGTAACACTAATATGATTATGATACCTTGTATCTGACTGAAAAAAAGAGAAAACAATATTCTATACAAGTCCATTTTTCTAAAACTTATACAGGTGTTGAAAATCTTTTGTGCTTGGTTCTATTTTAATTTTATGAAGAATTGTTTATAAAAATAACAAGCACTGAAATCAAAACTGCCCTACTGAAACTTAGGTGAATCTCAGATCAAATCATCTGAAAGCAGCTGTTTCATCTTAGCAATAATAAATTCAATACCTATTCTAATTTGACATTGTTCTTTCAGTAAACAAAGCCATGTTTTAATTCCAATAGAATATGAGGTGCAAGTGATTGATGTCACAATGAAAATTGTGCGTTGTCTTTTGGACAATGTCGAAGATCAAAATGGACATTTTCGTTGATGTTGCACACTAGGAAATTAAATAAAATCATTCTTAAAGTAAATTTACATGTTTATGTTTATTTTTAATCATGCAATGGTTGGTTTTATAAAAATATTCTTGCTTTATGAAATCAAAATGTCTACCATTTGAACGTGTCTTCTAGGTCCGCTTTGAAGTAAAAACGTTCTAAATTTTCCTAGTAGACTGAAGCTTTGTATAAAGATATTAACAAATTAGGAAATAATCCCTTCATGTCATGCTCTATGCTCATTTTAACGGTAGGCATTATATTTGTTGATATTTTACACTGAGCTTTAGTGAGATGTAAAATATGGTCAAATATAATGCCTACCATGTTAAAATGAGCATAGAGCATGATTTTAAGGAATTATTTTGATTCTAATAGGACAAATATGGTTTTTTTTAGATCGAAGTGTACCAAATACCTTAGGAATGTTTAGCTGTTCCTGTTTCCTCCCCATAAAGTATGTACATTACATTTTCATATTAATAAATTTAAAAATAAATACCAGGGTAAATATATGATGTTTTAATAACAATATATAATAAAATTTTGTGTAAGCAGCTAAAATATATATATTCTATTGGGATAAAAATTAAAATAACGAGAACATAAACAGTCATTTTGTGTGCAGGTGTTAAACATATTTTGTGCTAATTAGAACACATCTTTGTTTACAAAGCAAAATAAGGACATCATATGACAAAATAATGCCTACCCATGTTCAAATGAGCATAGATCATGGCATGAAAATAATTTCCTAAACAAATTTGAATAACTCTATTAGGTAAAATTGATAAGTAGCAAGAAAACAATTAATATTCAAGTGGTTTTCTCCGGGCACTCCGGCTTCCTCCACCAATAAAAACTGGCCGCCAGGAAATAGCCCAAAAGCGGTGCTTAAAAGTGGCGTTAAAACACCAAAAATAAAAAAAATCATATTAATATTCAAATGTGTTTGTGGAGTATCATTTGAAAAATTTAAAATTTAAATATTCTACAGGTCTCAACTTGGATTTAAACATTGAGAACAAAAATTCTATCTAAAAATACAACTCAAAATGTGCATGAAACATTTAAAATGCTGTATTACAACACTGCAATATCATCCCCTAAACAGCATGTTTGTTGGAAAGGTTGTCAAAACGACCACATTTAATGCAGCTTGTAAATATTCAATCACTTAATTGATGATTTTTCAAAAGTTCTTGAATACAACTTTTAAAATGTATCCTTTATGTTCAGTATCAAATTAGGTCTTACCCTGACACTATAAGTAACCCTGAACTTGTTGCCTCTGCAACAGGGTAGGTAACTTCTACTGACATTTCCATAGATATAGGATACATAGCAAAACCAAATACACCAAATAATGTTATAAAAGTAGCTGCCAGTACACTTTGATTTCTTAGTCTGGCTACCTGAAATTATAACAATATATATAAAAATATAAGTTTCCTATTATTGGTGATATTTACAATGCTGTGAAGATGTTTCAAACACAGAAACTTTATCCTGTTGACTTAAAAACGTGAAAGACACTATTTATCTTATACTTTACATCAAAAAGATCTAGTATTTTATAAATAAACTTATGTGTTCTATATTTTTAGCAGTTTTATTTTTTTCTGCAGAATTAACATTATTGCAAAAATTGTCAAGTGACAGTAAATGATATAACACTTTTCCTTAACTAGTATCCATATTAACACATAACTGTGAAGAAAAGTACATTTTGACTGAAATTACTTTTAGTGGTCTAAATCAGGCCGTTAATTTTCTCATTTGAATTGTTTTACATTGTCAAATCAGGGGCTTAAATAGCGTACAATGCGGTATGGGTTTTGCTCATTGTTGAATGCCATACAGTGACCTATAGTTATCAACTTCTTCATTTGGTCTAGAGGAGAGTTGTCTCATTAGCAATCAGACCACATCTTCTTATTTTTATATGGACAACTGTATTATCTATCTTGTAAACAAATTCTAAATTTTATTTAAAATAGTTTTTACCTGAGTAAATGCTAGTCCTGCCATAACTGCACATGCATATGAAAATTTTATAACTTCAGCAAATTTCTTTGATTTATCTACATATATTCCTGACACTATAGCTCCTAACACACCTCCTGCTATCATCAAAGCACCACATAATCCTGCAAATGACTAAAACAGAAAGTGTAGTATTAAGATATAATTGTAAATAACAAACTATCATTTTCTTTGCTTAAATAAACTTTTCCTTACACAACATGCATGCAAAAAATAAACTTTTCCTTAAATGATACATAAATAACAAACTATCATTTTCTTTAATTATATCAACTTTTCCTTAAACAACATGCATGCTAAAATAAACTTTTCCTTACACAACACATAAATAACAAACTATATTTTTATTTGCCTATATATACATGACACATGAATAATAAACTATATTTTTATTTGTTTATATAAACCTTATACGACAAACGGTTGATAGGGTGCGTGATATTGAAAAAGCCATATCATATACACTTTATTATATCTCACGTATAGATATTTTTCATGTGACGTGACGTCATACATATTAGGGGTTTGATAAAGCCTTTGAAATGGTTACTGATGTCGATGATGTGACGTCATACAGATTACGGGTGTGATAAAGCCTTTGCAACCGTGACTGATATGGATATCATCACGGATGGCTGATACAGCACGATTGCCATTGGTCGTATTACACATACAATTTACATGTATTTACTACTAAGTATATAAATAAAATGAATAACGAACTAGTTTTCTTTCCTAATATAAATTTTTCCTGACTCAACGTTTGAGCGTATGTGTATTATATTTTTTTGCGCATTTAGAAAAATAACATCTGAATTTCTTCAGACCACATGGCTGCCCGAACAAAAACTAACCCTGTGGTTACGTAAATGAGAGATAATGGTCGGAGGTTCAAAATTTCGGGCAGAGGCTGTACTAGAATTTTGCCACTCATACAGTTCAAGGATGTAATATTTCCACACTCATTCCAGTAAAACTTTAAAAGTTTAAATACAAATGGCTGAATAAGGATATTCAATATATTTCAAAGTATTTTACTATTTCAATACAGTGATATCTTAAGAACTTACAATTAAGACCAGAGAAGAAGGTAGCTCACCCTTAGGTTTATAAAAGGGAAAATAAAAGGGATTGGACAGTATTTTTTCTTATGAACAAACCCCCCTATACATTTTTAATTGGAAATCAAAGTTCATCAGACCTAGCAGTGCCGGCACAAATGTATTATGATAAAAGTACTATTCAACCCCTTCCCCATAACCCATTCCTGCAACTTTTCTTGTAAAAGCCCCAAGGTAATATATGGATTGTTGGATCATTCGAGAAAATAAATCAAATTCCAGGCAATTATCATCTTAACTTTTTTGGCCCTGAAAGTTCAGTCCATAAACTGTTAGATGATTTTTCGGTGCCATAAATTATTTGTTTGATATTTTATTGCTTTTCAGGGAATAACAGCTTTAATCTGTTGATTTTTTTTGCATGACAAAATACATTATAACATTTTTTTCCTCAATCTTTTATCAGCTTACAAAAGTATATTTTCAAGATAATAAAGGCTTAATATTTAAACATATACAATGAATAGGTCTTACAATTTTTGTAAACCTTTGTCATATCTCATCATATCTCATCATATCAAATGATAAACTCATGATGGTCAAGCACATATCTTATCACATTGTTTATCCATTTATGCATGTCAAATTAAAAGTTATGAAGTCGCATTTCATATAACTTTCAATATTTCTATATTCATGAAATATTTTTTTGAAATTCAACAATGTTATTGAATATAAGGTGGTCTAAGATCATATGTGCTACTTTAACTGATTGTAAATTTTGACAAGTACTTACATCTGTATTGCCTTTGGGACATAATATCTGGTCTAATACTTACATTTGAATAGCCTTTGGGACATAATATCTGGTCTAAAAAGGTTGTAAAGGAAGTGAAAATGGCTAATCCTGCACCAAATGTTATATTTAACACCCAGTAATTCTTGTTCTTTAATATCTGCAAAAAAGGAAATGTTTAATTTAAATTAATTAGCACCTTGAACAGATGAAACATTGAATGTTTGAATGCTGTAATATTCCTGTGAAAAGTTGATCACTTAAATAACTATATGTAGTATAATCAAATCACATATATGTTTCACATCCTGTATCTTACCAATAATTGTCACATTCCCTCTTCCTTATATATTTAGATAGATTTGATTTTGACAAGAATGGAAAGGGAAATCTTCAAACAAGTAGTATATTTATATTAAAATGCCATTAATAATAATTGGCTTAATAATTTCCAGAAAGAGGCATTGAAAATGCACTTTCTCAACAACAATAAAAATTTTAAAAAATGAATAATATTTATATTAAAATGCCATTAATAATAATTGGCTTAATAATTTCCAGAAAGAGGCATTGAAAATGTACTTTCTCAACAACAATAAAAATTAAAAAAAATGAATAATATTTATATTAAAATGCCATTAATAATATTTGGCTTAATAATTTCCAGAAAGAGGCATTGAAAATGCACTTTCCCAACAACAATAAAAATTAAAAAAAATGAATAATATTTATATTAAAATGCCATTAATAATAATTGGCTTAATAATTTCCAGAAAGAGGCATTGAAAATGCACTTTCTCAACAACAATAAAAATTAAAAAAATAAATAACTAATTTGGAACTAATTGGTGTTCATTCTTCGTTAAGAAAAAAGTTCCTGTATTCAAATATACATATACATCTACCTAATGCTGAGATATTTCCAATTACTGTTAAATAGCAATATAATAGGGAATAAACAAATAAATTTTATTGCAGAAAATGTTCCGGTAAAAGTTATGTAATTTGTTTATTGGTTCAAACAAACTACTGACAGAGACATATAATACAAGAGATTCGCAACTCGGCGAAATCCCGTAATAACACGCGGCCACTAGCTAAACCTCGCGAGATCTCCTTAGGTAATAAAGTCATTAATAAAAGTATTAAAAGTACTCGAAGTAAGGACGAATGTTTAAGCATAACATAAACTGTTTCAATGTAAAATTTATCATAATTATTTAAATAATTTGAGTACATATATAATTATTTATTTTAATGTAATTTTGATTTTAGATTTGTATTATTGAAAAAGAGACATAATTTGATATTGTATCAAAAAAAAACCCTGATATTAAATAATTAACACTTGATAAATTGTGTCAGAGTTCATTTTATTTGATAGTTACATAATGGGTTTCTATTGAATATACACCTGTCTCGGAGACATAATTTCACAGTGTGACATGTATATTAGGTTTGAATTATTCGATGACCAGGTAAATCACGAACATGTTATAAATAATGAGTTCTAATTGACACCTTGTAAACAAGAAGTTGTTACACCAGAGGTGTCCACACTCTTTCCAAAAATACAATGCACAAAATGTAAAATTAATTAATGTGGAAAAAAACTTAATTTATTTGTTTATTAATTGTTAATCATGATAGGCTTTGTTTTTTATTCTTGATATTTATAAATTATTAAAATTCTATTTATTTTTATATTCATCATTTATTGGGCTTGCATTGAGTTTTTTCTGTAGGATTGTCGTTAAATGTTTGATTTCTAAGTGTTGTTTGACAGTTTTATCATAGGCTTGCATTGAGTTGTTTTTTAAATGATTGTCGGTAAATTTATTGTTTCTTCATGTTCGAAGTGTGTATTGAGAATTAATATTTAAGAAAATTACAATTAATTTCTCATTTGAATAAAGCTTCATTCATGTGCACGCAATATGGAAAATTCCGATTTTATTTCGTGGGATGACAATCTTAATAGTTACGACTTAGATATACTCAAAGTTGAATAAACTGATAACGAACTCTTTGTTGATAGTGAAAAGGACGAAAACATAAGCGAGAGACCCACCAACAAAAAAAATTGACAATACTGCATACATAGATGGATATGTGTGTCCTCGAAGCAACAAAAAATCTATAAAAAAAACACAACATTGAAGTGGGAGCCGAGGTCATACATCAAAGCAACATGGAAGACACTATTTAAAAAGAATTTTATAACCTTATTTCCATGAGACGATCATTTGTAGTGGTTTTTGTCTTTTAATCATTTGTAGTGGTTTTTGTCTTTTTATTCTGGGGTAAAGAGATGGCAGTTTAAAAGTAAGATTGTTTATGTGTATACATATACAAATCCTTGGTGTAAATAAAATCTTTTATTATCAAATATATATATATGTATATATATCTTTTGCAGTCACCATTGAAATGTCCTCAATACGATTTTAATTTAAAAATGAATTAAGTTCATGTTTTGAATGAGAAGCGTAGTCTGAAACGACAACAGATGCATGAAGCTCATTTATAATATTACGACCAGCAGAAGTTTTCCTTTACTAGGAAAATTTTGTTCCTTTTGTAAATTTACTTCATTCGTTCATCTTTGGCAACCTAAAAAGAAGAAAAAAACAATGACTTCAGAATAGGAGAAAATAAACAACTTTGCCATAAACAGATTGAAAAATGAATAAATTGCCTAACAAAATGCAGGCTATAAATTTCATAGTGCACAAAAATGAAGGACTGATTTAAGGAAATTTGTCCATGAACAATTTCAATATTTAGCCAGTTTGCAAAAAAAAAAAAAAAAACAAAAGAAAAAACAAAATTGGGAGTAATATATATATCCCCATAATTTGACATATTTATTTGTAAATTTCTAGTTTTGACGAAACAGATTGATAAAATTAGCATAGCTGGCTGTGTGTATAAATAACAAAATAATAGTCACCTTTGTTGATATTTTCAGAAATAACTGTTAGATCAAATTTTACGAAACTGGTCCTATTTTCACGACATAACATCATTCTCATATTTCCAAGTTTTACGAGATTAAATGATAGTACCAGCACAGCTGGCTGCGGGTACCAATAAGAAAAAATCGCCACATTTGTTGATAATTTTGGAGAAAAAAAAACCACTATTGGATCAAATTTTACGAAAATAGTCTTATTTTCACGAAACAACATTTGGTAGTATTATTGCCCCATAAAATTATATATTTATTAGCATATTTCCAAGTTTTAAGAAAAAAAATGGGAGATCAAATGCTTTCTACGGCAATAGGAGGTGAAGTAAAATGGGCCGAGTTTTAACTTTGTTTGTATTTGATTAATCTCATCATTAGAACACATTTTATCAATAACAAATTATTAGAATTAGTTTTTTGTAACTTTTAAATATACTTGCATGCTTTAGCTGTGAAAGGTATCGGCATTATCCATTAGAAAAATCGTGAGGCGTAGAACCTCTTTCACAACAATAGCGAGTTTTTACCCATAAATCCATCGGAATAATCGGTTTTCTGGTGGCCACGTCATTTCATTGGCTGTTATATAGACTCTACTAGAGTTGCGAATCTCTTGTATTATATGTCTCTGCTACTGATAATAGTAACGTATAAGACCTTAATTATTGACTTATGTCAGATGATTATGACACTGATTTTACAAGTGAAATAAAATCTACTTGCATTTTTTATACATTATATTGTATTTTTTGTCTTTTCTTTGAAAAAACACATTTTATCAATCATACAGCTTTTACACAAAATTAACAGAATAATTTAATGTACTGTAGACCAAAATAAATAATAGTTATTCTATTGAGGTCAAGAATTTGTGTATTCAGTTAGATGTGTAATAAATTGTATATTCAGTTATGCAAAACAACATGCACGAGATATATTAACTGTGGTCAATTCATACTGCATTAGAGTAAAGTTGATTCCATTTAATACTTATACCTTCAAGTGTAATTGTTTGAAAATCATGACAGTTGATAATCATACTTGTCTTGTATCAGTACACTTACTTGTCTGAGGAAAGAATTGGAATAATAGCATTTCAAAAAAATGTAGGAATAAACTCTAATGTCAATACACATCTTGTACCAAATTTTATTCAATAACTTACACAAACATAAGATACTGATAAAAGATCATAAAATACTTTCATAATTCTTATCAACTGCTTAAATTTGATATATCATTTTTTCACATTAATTAATAAATGGCAATTTAACATAAATTTTGATTTATAAAGGAACTATATGCATGTGTATATCTAAACTAAAGTAGCTATTCGGCCAGCCTTTTCTTATTTTAATGGCAAATATCATGTCAAAAAATGGCAGTTGATGATTAAAATGGTGTATAAAGTATCTGCAAGTCATAAAAACACATAATTAGTTTCATGATATGTCTTCAACTTAAAATACTGCATCATCTCAAAATCCAGAGTGATCACATAGATCCAGCATGGCTGAATCAAAAATGTGTTTACTAATATATGACTACTGGTACCTACTTTTTTCAGACCATCAATGAATTTTTCTGAGTCTTCCTCAGCACTCGCTGTAGGTGGTGTGGGAGGAGTAGAACTACATACACCAAATGTGGCCATCATGGTTCCAGTCAAACTGATCCCTGTCATAACCCATAACTAAAGATTAAAAAATATTGTATTATTAGTTACAAACCAGAAGAAAGGTATGGTCAGTCAGTCAATTTCAAAAAAATTACAATAAGAATTTAAGAAATTAGTTTAAAGTTCATAATTCAAATTATTCTTGGTAGCATTTCATCAATTGCATATCATGTATAGTTGTGTCCCAGTATATTTAAAATAAAAAAGACCAAACACAATGTGTCGTCAACTCTCAACAGTTATAATACTTTATCCCAATGGTTGGAAAAGAAAAGAAACAGCATCAGGTTGATAGGTTGGAAACAGACTTGATTTTACCTTTATTTATGATTGACACCAAGAGGTTGTCTGTAGGATGTAAAATATGAGGCTTAAAGAATAAGTAAGTAAAGGAGTGTAATCTGATGCTGAAAGAATAAAACAGGTGATCTCTAAATATTTCCACTGTAGAAAAAAATGAAAGTTTTAAAAGACAAAACACAGTAAACAAAACTTACAGCTGAAGGAATGTCGTGTCCATCACAACTAGTTACCATGGCTGGAACTATAACATTTGCTGATAAGATTCCAAGTGGGTTAGCTAGAAGAAAAGGTTGTTACAATTGAATGGTATACTGACTACTTTAATCATGTTAATAAATGACAAAATTGATTATTGGAAAAATGCAACTTCAGTGAAATGATTAAAATGTAGGACAAACTTAAGTTGTTACAGTAATGATATATGCATTATGTAATTTCTGGGATGCAATATGCTTGTGCATGTAAACATTATATGTCTATTTTTTAAGAGGAATCTGGTTTTGTTATTGGTGTTGTTTGTTGTACTGTCCAATATTTTGTTTTTTTTTATGAATTGCCTAATAATTTAATAAAGGACAAGTGAAACCAATACAAACTATATCAACTCTTCAATATTTCTCTGCAAAAAAGCCTTCAAACTTTATTTGTCCTTTCTTCTTCTCCATACATACCCATAGAAGCAAGCATATTAGCTGTAGCTCTCTGATTACCAGCGAACCATAAAGCTGCAAGTTTGGTAGGAGCAAACATAACAAAAGGTTGTGCACACGCTGCTAGCGTCTGTCCCAATAACAATATCGGATATCTTGCTGAGTCATCAATACCATCAAAGACACTAACATTACGTAATAATGCACCAATACCATTCAGCCAGGCTGATAATAAGATCTAAAAAAACAAAGAAAAGGTACTTCTCAATAGCTATCAATAAAAGGAGTTGTATGATGTTACAAGCAATTTATTTTATATGTGCTTTGTTGCACTATTGAAACATGTAGAGTCCTTACAGCTATTCTTACTTCTCTGCTGTTACAGATGCAGTAATGCACAGTAACTACTGAGTTTGGATATTGATTCTGCAATACATGGTTGATTTAAACTGAGGTGACTGTCATATAAGTCATTGTTACCCTGGTTCCCCCACTATGGTACTACATTTTGTATTACTATCTTTCATTCAAAAGTACTTGCACCAAGTCAGGACAATGGAAGTCAATCTCCAATTGTTCCCATGAGAATTATTAGAAGGGATTTTTCCAGAAACTAGCTAGTATACATGAACATGTACTAGTATTTGTTTAGATTATGTCTTTAAGTTTAGTACATAATTTATTCCCTGTTCTTGCATGCAGTTCTGATGGTAATTGTGTTGAAATATTGTTGTACAAATATGTTTGACAAATAGATAGGTAGGCATGATAATTTGTTTTCAATCAACTGGAAGGACTCCTTGTTTGTCTGTCACTGTGTTACCATCATATTTTTGTGAGTTCAGAAGCAGGTTTAATCATTCACTGCTATTTATCCAATAAAATCCTCGCTTTCTAAACTTACATGTATACATATACTTACACTTGCTCTTAAGCCAAAGGTGTCCAAAACCCATGAGGCACAAAATCCAAATGGAACTGAACAAATTAGAAAGACTAATGACAACACATTCACTTTAAAGGCATCGACTTTAAACTTCTCTGCTGTTACATCAGCTATTGGTGAGAAGGTAATCCAGACCTACAATATATAGGAATAAATAATGGTGGGATACAGTAGTAAAGCCATGTTCAAGTTTATGTGCCATTTATCTGTTTTCTTCATGTGTATTTAAAACTGTATTAAATATATATATATATATTATATAAGGCTAGGGTTTTTTAATTTGTGGATTTACAGATTTTGTATGTGAAAAAGTCGGGTCGGGCAGTCGAAAAAAAAAGAAAAACAATATCTTATAATAAATATGTATAAATATTTCATCTTTCTTATAATAGTTTTAAAATGCTATTTCTTAATTTTTATTTCCAAACATATTTGCGCAAATGCTTTAAGGTACAATGCATACCATTGTCACATGAGTTTGTGAAAAGGGGGTAGGGTATGTCCACCGACAAACAGGAAATAAATGGTCATTTCATGAACGAAAAAAAAACAGCTACTTGTTGCTTCTTAATAACTTTCAGGAAACATAGTGAATAATGAGCTTCAAGCATGAAAACACACGAAATAAAAGTTGCAAACACATCGCTATGAGATGAAAAATCTTATGGAATTATCAAAAAAAGGAAAACAAACTTATTGTAATGGGCTTTTAAAATAGCTTTGGTTTCACAAAATTATTTACCAAAACAACTTTTCAAGGTCAGTTTTGATTGTCTATTTTTAGGCACACAAACAGATTTTTTTTTAGATTTTAATTCTTTTAGAAATGTTTTTTACACATGCTAAAATAATGCATTCAATTTCAGAAAAAAGTTGCTACGCAGATATTTTATTAATTTTTCAGGGACAATGTATTTGTTAGGGTTGGCGGGATTAAAAAAGCATGAAATGTCAATTTTTATTTCCGAAAATCTGAAAAATAGGGTATGCAGATCCGTAAACCAACAAATTAAAAAATCCTGGCCTAGAGTCTGAGAGATGTATAAATCCTGTGAAAGTATTATTGTTTGTGAAGTTCATGTTTTTGTGTATTTCGTGGTTTCTACCAATCAAGAATATTGCATACCCTACAACTTTTTATATGAGGAGACCTACATGTAGCCTCTGGCTGTTGACAATCCTCTTTAAACAAATAAAGAATTAATATGTACATATTTTCAACTCAGTCTGAATGCACTAATCTTAAATCCCAATAAATAAAATATACTTTCACAAACCATGAAAATAGATGGTATGCACACTAGCTGATCCCTAAAAGGAGGGGGGTGTCCAGGGGAACCCCCTTACTTGTATAGGTACATATTGTTACAACACTCCCCCCCCTCCATTTTTATATGACTTGCATGTGTTGGGATCTGGTCAGGGACCACATTTATAATCCTTTGATATTGGTTCTCTATAAATATAGTCTCTAGTACATACAGTGTATTATTTGCAAATTTTTTCGTAAAAATTCCAAATTTATTTCTCATATTTATTTATGCATATAATAGCAAGAATTAGGGGGAAAATCCAGTCAAGTTTTAATTTTCTGAAACATAAAATGTTTGTTGTTCAGTGGTTGTCATTTGTTGGTGTGGTTCATAAGTGTTTCTCGTTTTTTATATAGATTAGACCGTTGGTTTTCCTGTTTGAATTGTTTTACACTAGTCATTTTGAGGCCCTTTATAGCTTGCTGTTCGGTGTGAGCCAAGGCTCCGTGTTGAAGGCCGTATTTTGACCTATAATAGTTAACTTTTTATACATTGTGACTTGGATGGAGAGTTGTCTCCATTGGCACACATACCACATCTTCTTATTTATATTTAAATTTTATTTATCTAGGGCATGCTATACCTTAAAATATTTCCAGATGCACAAGTTTATCTGCACTCAGAATAAATTTTGTAGTGTAAACACAGCCATGATTTTAGCCTAAGGGTCCACATGAACCTTTTAAATGTCTTTTGGTCTTACATGTAGAGTCTGGCTTTGAATCACTGGGTTGTTATCACATTGACATACAACTAACATTACCTATTAGTCATTTACAGCATTCTGAATGAAATTAAATTTATATAGTACTACTGAAAGTGAAACATCAACTTGACAGCCTACCCAGAGACATATATATATGGTCAGATCATATGTTTTCGTACGTCATATGAATTCGTACTATGCATGCTTTTTCAATTAAAATTGTGACGTCACAATGCATTCTTAATAGCACGAAAATCCATGAGACGAGGATATATACCAGTACCAGTAGTCATTAAAATTTAGTTTTCTTCTCACTCACCATTGCATTTGAAATGTTGAGCAAACAAATTACAATTAAAATAAACCATCTTCTTTTGTAAACTTTGTAAGTTTGGTCAACAAGATTAGATGTGCTGGTGGAATTTGCCGTCAGTGAAACATTAGACAAACTTCGTGCGTCTGCCATTTTGTTCTCACGTGATCAAAATTTGTCACATGACAACTGATTAAGTAGATCTAGCAAGTGTCCAGACTTCTGCAAAAGACATCCAGCGTCTCCCCATCAAACTTAGACTCCTTACTGGTACATACATTCTCCAATGTAATAGAGCAGCTTTCAATCAAGTTGAGGAAAGAGTTCCATATGGCACCCCCACCCAAAAATATATTTTTCCCGATTAGAAAACATTCTAAAAAGGGTTTTTTTTAAGGGGAGCTTTATAAAAAAAATGGGGCATGGCTTTTTTGGGGGGTTAAAAAAATAATTGGAAAAAAATGTTAAAAACATAGAAAAAAAATATTACAAATTAATTGCTTTTCATGTGGGCCATTTTCTGTTGACAACTTTTTTTTCTTTTGGTACCCCCATTTCCTTTTGACACCCTCAGATTTTTGCATGTTACTACTACTTATACATCTTAAGCATCATTTATATTACAGTACATCTCATTATATTTAAAGCACAAATATTATATATATACCTTACTTGGATTCGAACCTCCAATCTTGGGATCTGTAGTCCACTGACTTAGCCACTAGGCTGTGATAAGTTAGGTGATATATGTTTTAAAAATAATTATATCCTTATAGGTAATTCCATATGTGGAAATCAGGGTTATTGTTGCACTTTAAAATAGGTAACAAAATACTTTTGTAAAGTTTAAATAATCTAATTAGCAATACAGTGAAATGAGTATTTTTCACACCCCAGTAGTTACACTGGTCAAAATTTATTGGTATACTATTGAATTGAAACGTACTCACTATTTATTTCATTTCCTTAGTTTATTAGGAATTAGTATTAATTTAACATGGGTGATTCTTCAAGTCCATGTTGCACTGAGTAAGGATAAAACATACATGAATTTAAGAAAACGGAAAGTTATTAATAAACCGAAAAATGAGATAAGTGAGGAGGTATCATCAGATTCATCATCATTTCAATGTGGATAATTTAATATAAATACAAGTTTTGAAATTGACAATGAATATGATCCTAGTAAAAGTTTATTTTCATTGTCTGAAGAATCATCGCCTTTTGCTTGTGGTCAACAATAAACTAGCAACGTAGTTGAAAAATTTAGAAAACTTTGTTGATCCCACTACATGCACTAGTGGTGCATGCACTAACTTAATTTAGAATTGTTGGTGGTGTAACACACGACAACTGCCAACCACACATACTAGATCTCAAACTTTTGATAAACATTTAATGGAATATATGTGGAGAACATTATATTCTGATAAAACATCACTTTTTGACAGTTTCATTCATGACATGTGTAAAGTATATCCCCTTTCTTGCATGATTTGAAATTAATTATTTCAAAATAAAAATGAAATCATTATAAATCTCATTTTGTTTGATTTTCCTGTATAGTTATTATATATATATATCTTACTATTGTACATCAAATATATATTAAATCAATTAATTTTTACAACATTTTTATGACACATATCCCTGTTCCAAGAAGTGACACCCCTATATCTGTTTGACACCCCCATTTTCCTTAAATCTTAGTTAATACCTTGTAAAACAAATATATTAGTATTGTACATTAAATATATATCAATTAAATATATTTTTATAACATTTTGGGTGGGGGTGCCATATGGAACTCTTACCCAAGTGGACATCAACCCAACATGTCTCTTATGCGAGGAGGACGCTGAAACATTAGACCATTTCATTCATTCATGTCCTGCTTTAGCTTCTGCTAGAAACTATCACCTGCTTGAACTTTCAAATATTATCAATAAAAGCGAGCTCTGTCCGAAATGTAGAACATTAGAAAAACTAGAAATTAATACACAACTAATATTGGATGCTAGTGCCTTGCTCTGTAACTGTCAATGTAAATGTGGATGTACAGATTTTCTTTATCTTGTAGAATACATAAGTAGAAAACTTTGCTTTGCTTTGCACATTAGACGTAATACAATATTATTAACATTGCCGGTGAATAAAAAGAACGGATTGCTTGCAACCACTCAGTCAAAGGCGTGAATATTTAAAATCTAAATTATCTTTTGTTTTAGATTTTAATAGTGTAATAAACATTTAGTGGGTGTTAAATACACCATATCCTACTCTGTAACCAGAGGTGTGCCTTTGAAAGGCAGGATCTTCATACAAGACAAGACAAGTAGCGCCAACTTTAAATATTTTTAGCTTATATTATGTGTAGTCCAAATAATTATGACGTCTTGAAAATTAGAATAGCCTTTCAAGACGTCATAATTATTTGGACTAGCTCATGTGATGAGAGTTCGTCTTTTTACAAATCGTCTTCACTGAAAGCAAATAATCAGTTGCAATTAGGCATATTATTCGAGTCATTTGAGTTTGCATTGAATTTTGGCTTGGTCGGTACTCTGAGGGTCGGCATGGTAAATTACATAGAGACGGGAGGAAGCTGAACTACATTGCTTCCCGCTCCAACTTTCTGAATAATTATAACTCCAGTGAAGTTTTCAGGAACACACAATTTATTGTGTACACTTGAAAGAGAAAGTGCTGTTTTAATTGACTGGTTTAGATTTAATTGTATGCAGGCAAATCCTGATAAATTCCAAGCCATTGCAGTTGGAAATAAAAGTTTTTAAACATTTGCAAAAAAGCCTGTTTTTAATATACAGTCAGCAAAAATATCCTGTGATGAGATTGTCAAACTTTTAAGTATTGATATTGACTATCAACTTAATTTTAATCACCACATTAAAAATATTTGTCGTAAAGCATCTCAACAACTGAATGTTTTAAAGCGCATTGGCTGCTACCTTACTAAATTAAATAAATTGACCATTTTCCACACATTTATTTTATCTAATTTAAATTTTTGTCCTTTGGCATGGCAATTTTGCAACAAAAATAACACCACTAAATTAGAAAAAATTCAGGAGACTATGCTAGTTCATATGATGAACTACTTTTACGAGCAAAGGTTCCATCACTGAAAATAAGACGTATGCGTAACATGGCTATTGAATGTTTTAAAATTTTATATAAATTGTCACCACCATGTTTACATGATTTAGTTGTATTGAAAGATTGTAAATATAATTTTAGATATTCTAATATTGTAGATATACCTAGGGTCCGAACATCAACCTTTGGTAAGAACTCTTTTAAATACACAGCTGCTGTTTTTATGGATTGATCTACCTGATGATTTTAGAAAAATTGCTAATTTTAGTCAGTTCAAAAAATTTTTAAAGTCATGGAATGGAAATGACTGTAAGTGCACAGTTTGTGCAGATTTTTAGTTAATATATTATGCTAAAATTATTTACCATTTAGATCATACCCCCTTTTTTCTTTAAAACATTTTATGTTATGCATTTTACCAGCTTTTATGCCTAGTTTACACTTATATGCTTTAAGCTTTAATACCTAGCTTATGCTTATATTCTGCTTATTACCATCATGCATTTTAGTGCTTCATTTTGTGCTGTGTAATTTATTGCATGTGTATTATGTGTTGTATTGTTATATGTTGTATTGTTATAAATGTCTTGTATGTCGGTTAAAAGCTCATTAGCGCTTATGTTGTCTCTGTTTGTATACCTTGCCGAATCTAAATAAAGCTTATTTATTATTTATTATTACAGCTCATTCTCTGATAAAAAAAACCCGGCACAAGTTACTATATCTGAAATTCCTTTATCTTTCACATATATTGTCTTAATTTTGATGTATCTGCTATTTTGCATTTGCTAGAGTCAATTTAAATCGCCTTTATACTGCCGATATTCGTTCGTAAGTGAAACCACATGCGTTTAGGGCATGCATCTTTTTGCTGTTTTCTTAGTGTTTTTAAAAATAACTATTTCCGAAACAAAATTTCTTCTTATTTCTGCTTATTTTCATTTATTTGAAGTTATTGTGCTATTGCTCCCATTCATGCGACCTTACAATGATCGTAAGATCGTATGAATAGGAGCAAGAAATAAAATAATGGCTATATTTGTATAATAATTTAAGTATGTTCAAACAAGGATTTGTATAGTAAGACAAATCCTTGGTTCAAACTTTATTGTTATTTTTCTTTTTATTGATCATCTGCTTTTGACACGAGGAAGATTGCTGTTGCAGCTATTGTATGCAACAGTATATCCATAAGCATAGTCCCCAGCAGATGAACATACTATATATCTTAATTTTATAAATCTTAAAACGATAATTGTGCTGATGTGAACACGAGGTGCACTGCTGGACATAGAGATAATAATAATAAAAAAAAAAATTAAAAAATAAAAAAAAAAAAATACTCAAGAGTACTTTTAATGTATTTTTGTTATTAATGCTATTTTCATTTGTCTATTATAATATCTGGCACGTTATATACTGTACAATGTCTCATGTTTGTTGCTTATATTATCATAATTGTTAATTGTAAATGGCCCCTGTGGGACCCTGATTGGAATAATAAAATATTTGATTTGATTTGATTTGTATAAAGACCCTCTTTTGAATTTTTCAAAATATGCATATAAATCAATCGAAGAAGTTGACTGTACCTTTCCGTGACCCTTACCTTAAACAAACACATTTTTTCAGTTTCTAAAATTCATTGGTTTTGACCATGTCTCGAATAATACAGGAACACTGTTAGAAGGAAAACTCATATCTGCAGTGAAAAATAGATTACAAGAAAGATATGAAAAATATTTCTTCCCACGTTTATCAGGTGAAGACCAAAACAAATTGCGTACATATTACAAGCTGAAAAAGGAATATAAACCTGAAACCTATACAAATTTGAGTATCTCGAAACAATATATATTAGACAGTTCTGTAAATTAAGAATTTGTAACCATATTTTACACATCGAAAATGGCAGATATAGTAATACACCTTTGGGTCAAAGAATGTGTAAACATTGTATTGATAACAAAATTGAAGACGAGTTTCATTTCATATGTGAATGGAACCTTTATCAAGACGATAGGAAAAAGTTTTAT